CCATGAGGATCGTCACTCTGCCCTTCCCTTTCGCTCTGAAGCGATCGTTTAGACCACCGGGGCCGAATCCTTGCACCGATACTCGATCTGAACTTTCTGACCTGAAGTGGTCTCCGGCACCTGGCCTTGAATTTCGGTCAGGAGTCGAAGAGCCACTGCTCATGCCGGAAGCCAAGTCATCGAAAGTGGTAGGAGGGTTCGATAACCCACTTTTCACAGGAGTCGATGGTCTAGCTGGTGTTGAGTTGCTCGAGGATGTAGCCGAGTTGTGTTTCATAGGCGCAACTGGCATAGACATGCGATTCATGTGCCGATCCGGAATACCACTGGTCGAGCTTGATCTCTGAGGGCCTGGAGTAAACTGAGATGCCCTTTTGTTTGCCGAGCCGAAGTCGTCTGCGCCCCATGAAGCGCCGTTTGTTTGCCTGGTTGACTGTGACTGTCCGGGAGACTCGATAAAGGACCAGGCCTCAAATGACTTGGCTAGGCTTGTCATTTCCGCCAGGAGCTGCGAGGTGATGTCGCACATGATAGTTTTCATGGTTGTCCGCTTGCACTCGTCCGGCGGTGGTATAGCGATGAGTCCCTCAGGCAAAGGCACCGGGTTCTCTTTCGAAAGCGCATGGTCAAAAATCAGCACTTGGTGAACCAGCGCCTTTCCGAATCGGTCTCTCAAGTCCTCCAACTCCTGATACAGCGTTCGGATATTTTGTTCGGCAACGGTGGGCGCATTGCCAGATTGTCTCTTGTTAAAGGCGACTCGGTTGAGCTCGTCTCCGTCTGCGATTGCAATGACCGCAAGGGGTTCGCGGTAGAAGTCGAACGGCGATAATGCGAGATGCGAAGGTGGGGGTACGTGGGTTATAAGTTCGTAGAATACGGCGCCATCAGGGAAGGCCAAAGGCGAAAACATATCTACAAATTGCCGGTTAGTGCGAGCGTTCTCGAAGCAAGGCAGGGAACGGGGTGACATGCTTCTGTTCGGCCGCCCATCAGGGCTGACATCCCGCAAGGAGACGGCATGTTCAGGTCGCAGGCGCTCAATGAAGGACGAGAAACGATCACTTCTGATTTGACCCAGGGGTAGAATCAATGCCTTCACCCTCGCGGGAGCGATGGGTAACAGCGAGTCCAAGCTCATCCTAGCATATGTTTCTCCCGTCCAGCATCTTCAACTCAAATAATGTTGCGTGCGAGCTATGTGGCCATATCGCGATGGTCTCGTGCGTTTGGCGGCACACCAGGGGTACACGGAAGTGCGCGAAGCTCGACAGGTGGCTTCTAGAGGTGGTCGTCGAGCTGGTTTAGTGATTTCTATGTCGTGCGCGTTTTCGTGATTAAGCGCAAAGCTGGCTGCAGGACGATGGGAGCTACTTGATGCAGGTGAACAGTGGAAAGGAGCATACAGAGAGAGGTCAGAGTGGATGGGGAGGGAATTGGCATGCAGCCACCGGCAGCAATTGACGGTGTGCGATTTGACCGGGGGGGGGGGGGGGGGGGCTTTCAGTGGAGGAATTCAAGTCGGCGCAACATTCCCCAAAGGCCCCAGTGGACCTAGTGCATTGGTGAGGTCGGGTGGGAAAGCGCTGGTGAAGTTTCAGGGATCGTAGCAGCTATCGACAACGGGGTTGACGCTAAAACACCCGCCGCCACACGTAAGCTGGCCCAAGCTTGACATGCTCCGGGGGATTGATTGGCTCGTTTAGCAGTCGACGTCAACCAAGCTGTCAAAGCCACACTTCACTTCAGCCTCAATCCGAGCTCCATCCTGGGCAGCTTGCGAGTCGTCCAACGTGTTCACTCCAGTAGGTCGGTCAAAGGTACCTAGATACCTCTTTTCCATCTAACACCCCGACTTCACTCACGATCCTATTTCACACTTGAACTTGCTCACAAATTCGCACAAACACACGGCTTGACGATTTCACAGAGCTGTTGTGTGAGTGTCAATTTATTCCTCTCAGAGCTCCGATGAGCGCTGAATGATCACTCACACACCGCAAAGATGGCTCGCATAACGCAGTTGGCTGTCTTCCTTACGTTTTCCCTCTTCAATATCTTTGGGGCACAGCTAGCCCTTGCGGCAGAAGATGGTCCAGGCTCGGCTTCCATCTTGACCTCCGAGGTCGGTCGCCTTAACAACGAAAGCTTGTTCTGGGGTCCCTATAAGTCGAACCTGTACTTTGGCGTCCGCAACAGGTCTCCCAAGAGTCTGTGGACTGGATTGATGTGGTCCAGAGTTGATAACTATCAAGACGTTCAGCAAGGTATGTTGCATAGCGCCATCTTTAGATATGTATATGTAAAGACTGACAAGTTTAGGTTTCCGCTACACATGCGAACAGCATGAAGGCCTCCATGGCTATGGATGGGACGAGTATGATGCTCGAAAGGGAGGCATCCAGTCCATCCACGACGAAGGCAATCAGATTGACATCACCACCTCGTTTGTCAAGGTTCCCGGTGGAGCCAACGGCGGTAGCTGGGCTGCAAGAATCAAGGGCGTTCCGAGAGCGGGCGCACCCGATGATCTGAAGACCATGATCCACTACTACATTGCCGAGGACAACAGCGAAGCAGAGGTTGCATATTCTGGCGAGAACGACCCTGCCGGCTTTGACGGCGATGTCACTTTTCAAGGTTCTTCTCAGGAGCTCGGCAAGTACAAGCTGGTCATCACCAAGGGAAAGGGCAAGCACCCTTCCAGCAGCCACGATTTGTCCGACAAGAGACACCCGGACCGCACGACGGTACGGTCTCTGACTGTTCCCGAGGAGCATCAGTGGCAGGGCAAGGGCGTTGTTTTCAACCTCATCCAGGAGAGTGTCAAGTTTGTTCAGGAGAACTACGAGATGACCGAGCCGCCTCCGGCATATCTCACTTACCAGATCGAGAACAAGCCCGGTGAAGGTAACACGCACGTTGTCCAAAAGATGTTTGAGGGAACCTTCGAATTCGACGTCATCTTCTCGTCTGCCTCTGCTGGCCCGGAGCTCACAAGTGCCGATGTCACGCGTGAGATCAAGTCGGTCACCGAATTCTTTGGAGAGCGTTTCTCTTCCGTCTTCAGCCTGAAGGCTCCGTTCACTGCCGACAAGTACAAGAAGTTCGCCAAGAGCATGTTCTCCAACCTGCTTGGCGGCATCGGCTACTTCCATGGTTCACAGCTGATCGATCGCTCGTACGCCCCCGAGTACGACGAGGAGAACGAAGGCTTCTGGGAGGAGACCGCTGCTGCCCGCGCACGCAAGCAGCAGGAGTTGGAAGGCCCCTACGAGCTCTTCACGGCTGTTCCCTCTCGTCCCTTCTTCCCTCGAGGATTCCTCTGGGACGAGGGTTACCACCTTATCCCCATCGCCGACTGGGACATTGATCTGACCTTGGAGATCGTCAAGAGCTGGTTCAACACCATGGACGAAGACGGATGGATTCCTCGTGAACAGATTCTCGGTCTCGAAGCTCGGAGCAAGGTACCTGAGGAGTTCCAGGTTCAGTACCCGCACTACGCCAACCCTCCCACACTTTTCCTCATCATCGAAGGCTTCATGGAGAAGCTGCGCAAGACCAATGGCAGCCAGCCCGCCGAAAAGGAGCATCTTGGCCCCCAGGCTTCCCTGCAGACTGCCCACCTAGACAATGTCGAGCTCGGAGAGGAGTTCCTCCGAAGGCTGTACCCGTTCGTTCGCCAGCAGTACGACTGGTTCCGCAAGACTCAGCGAGGAGACTTGAAGACCTACGATCGCGACGCGTTCTCGAACAAGGAGGGCTACAGATGGCGCGGCCGCACTGAGACTCACGTTCTCACCAGCGGTCTCGATGACTACCCTCGTCCCCAGCCCCCTCACCCCGGCGAACTCCACGTCGACCTTATGTCCTGGGTTGGATTGATGACCAAGTCGCTGATGAACATTGCCGACGCTCTTGGCATGGCGGAGCAGGTTGACGAGTTCAAGACGACCCTCAACGCCATCCGTCGTAATCTGAACGACCTCCACTGGTCCGAGAAGGAGGGCTGCTACTGCGATGCCACGATTGATGCCTACGAAGAAAACACCCTCGTCTGCCACAAGGGCTACATCTCGCTGTTCCCCTTCTTGGTCGGCCTTCTCGAAGTCGATGACCCCAAGTTGGGCAAGCTCCTCGACCTTCTCGGCGACGAGGAACATCTCTTCAGTCCTCACGGTCTGAGAAGTCTGAGCAAGCAAGATGAGTTCTACGGCACAGCTGAGAACTACTGGAGAAGCCCCGTGTGGATGCCAATCAACTACATGGCCGTCTCCCAGCTGAGAGTAAGTCACCTCCACATTCGCCTCCTTTGGGAGCCCCCCCGATCACTGACTAGCATGTTACAGAATGTCGCCTCTCAAGATGGCCCTTACAAGGAAAAGGCCGCGGACCTTTTTACCCGCCTCCGCAAGAACCTCGTCGACACCGTCTACAACAGCTGGGAGAATACGGGCTTCGCCTGGGAGCAGTACAACCCGGAGACGGGCGAGGGCCAGCGCACCCAGCACTTCACCGGCTGGACGAGCTTGGTCGTCAAGCTCATGGCCATGGAGGAGCCCAGTAAGGCCGCCAGTGGCGGCAGCGGCCACGTCAGAGACGAGTTGTAAATCACGTACCCTTTTCTGTTCATCACACGGAACACGCGCATCTAGGAGAGGCATGCATGTACGAAGCAAGAAGAGGGCAACAGGAAAAAGCATAGTGTGATTTTCGGGCGGCATTGCTGGTTTGAGAAGGTATGGGAAAGCCCGTTCTGGGAATGAGATTACGCAAAAAGGCCGGTTTGGCTGGCTTTGAATTGTACATGCAGGGTTTTTTTCCCCTCCGTTTCCGTGAATGTGTTTGAAGGAGAATGAGATGCCTTCCTCGGCTTTACCGAACTTTGATAGACGGATGTGAGTGTGGATGGGTGTGCTGACAATTCCACGTTCGGCTGAGGAGTGTAAGCCCCGAGTACCCAAAAAGGGACGGATATGTAAGCTGTCTATGTAAGCCGTCCTCAAGTCAGCACACACACACACACGTAAACACACTGCATCTCCGCCGACCAAATCGAGCGTGAAAGCGACGAGCAGTTGCACAAGCAGTCGCGTCTGTCATCGCTTCAAGATCGTCGGCTTTTACTGACAGATTGAGGCGAGGAGCCCTACCATCCAAACTTCTCAAGTAAGACTGGTAATGTATGGTCCTTTTCGCCGCCCATACATACCAAGTCCGTACAGTGCAAAAGGCCCCCCTTCGCCTCACCAAGACATTAATGGCGACTTGTAACGCACAGCCACTGAAGAAAGTATTTCCCACCGCGTCAATATCCTCAGACGAAAGTGACTCCGGAGTCGGGTCCGCCTTAGGGGGGTCAAATGGTCGTCTAAGACGCGAGATCGCCCGCGGAGGAGCGAGCCGAGTAAAGGATTCAAGACAAGAGGCTTCTAGTAACACCTCGACTCTTCCCCCTGCCAAACCTGAGAGAGGGCTCTCCCACGGGATATCCTAGCAGAACTCATGGTCCGTGGGTGCACACTTGGGCTTCGCAGAGTTCTAAGCCATGGTATCACCTTCCTTGCTCGCATAGCATTCTTAGTCCACTGACGTTGTTCCTCACCTCCTCGTTTCGACGGTGAGCAGGACAATACACGGTTCGTGCGGACCAGGAAAGATTGCCCGCTCACCCAGGGTGTTGAACAGCCTCGGCGGCCCGCCCGACGTCAACATACTTAACCTGCGGTACCGTGTTACATATCTTCTTTCCCAGATATGCCACGCAGACACACACACAGACACACATACAAACCTTCGTGTCACCCTCCAAGTTGACTCTGATCCCCCTTTCGGAAGCCTGTAAGGCTGGCAGGGGGGGAGGCGAAGGAAGGGTTCCATTTTACAGACACGAGGTCTCTCTCTCTCTCTCTCTCTCTGCATTTGCTCTGGTTACGTTGCATCGGTAGGCTGTGTACATGCGTTTCTCCTTTCTTTCGTTGACCGTGCTGGCAGGACCGCTGTGGAACTTGAGTCTTGGCTCGGTGGTCAGCACCAGCACCACCAGCATAGGAACGAGTGGTGGTGGGTGGTCGTTATGCAGGTCGTAGGGCTGGGGCGGCTCAAGTGAGACGTCCCCAATCAGGTTAGGCTCCGCGCCTTCCAGGCCAGGCAGCCGTGAATCGGGGACAGAAAGGTATGGATGTTTCACATTCCCAAGCCTTTCTTGGACGATTTCAGCTTGTGTTTGATGGCTTTAGGGGGGATGGGGGGTCCGCTAGGAACCATGAAGATCTTGGCGGGTTGGGTGCCTTGATGTAGTAGATAGTTTCACACGTCCTAACTACATGTGTAGGACTTTCGGTGTCTGATTCTCGGGAGCTGATGAGTGTGTAAGTTGTACATTGTCTAAATTAGATAGGACCATCTAGTTTGAGGCTCCCAGGAATACAGTGAGCATTTTTACATCAGCATGTTGCTAGACTTCCCCTGCCTCTTGTCTATGAATGTGATCTCATGGTAAATGTGACTTGAGAAATCCCTCGTCTCGGTTACTTACACTCTTCTCGACTCTGTCTCCGTCAGCATGTGCCAATAAACATTGTAAGTACATGGCTACCAACGACACATGAGCTTCCCGTGATAGTCAACCGGACATTATTCCTCTGCGTTGTTCTCCTCTGCGTTAATGAATAACCAGATGCTCGGGTACAACGGGAAGAGGTATGTCCGCTGTCAGCTTCATTCCTGACCAGAGGAAGCTTCCAGGTCTATTCTGTTCCCAGACAAGTTCCTGTGTCCACAAGAGCTCGATGCCCACCGCCGCAAGGAGCCGACGCGTCGGTTTCTCCATTGCTGCAACCCTGCCCTCATGTCCGGGCGCTTCGTACTCGGACACCCCAATGTGGATGAGCTTGAGATGCGGAAACCGTGTGGGGGCCACGTCTGCCAGGTACTTCATCGTCCCTACCATCGCAGAGTGAAGATATCGGATCCTAAAAACACGAATAGACGGCGGTAGCAGAGATGCCAGTCTCGCTTCGGGGGCATAAGGCGTGACGATGTCCCGGATCAACCGGCAGTCGAGTGACAGTTCTTCCAGAGCGCCGTATAATCGCCACCGTTCACTGTGGCGGTACCTGACATCCCAAAAGTTCATGCCATGGTGCGGCTTGAGGTGATAGGATACGTGAAGGCTCTTGAGTCGGTTTTGCACTGGCTTGAGGGCCGTTCGCCAGGAGCAATCGTAGTTCTGGTTTGTGATCTCGAGGTGTTCGAGGCCAGGAAGGCAAGTCAACAGCTCCTCCAAGTGATTGTCCCGTATTCCCGAGAGTGAGAGGCTCTTCAACTTTGTCAAAAAGTTGGTGGGGTCTTTGGAAGGGAGCGTGCGGCGCTGTATCAACCACAAGCCTCCCGTGCTAGCATGAATGGATTCGACTTTTGGAAACATGGTCTGCATCGCGGCAAAGCCGAGATAGTTTGCGGTCTGTCTGAGTGGGCCGACTATAACGCCCAGACGACGGATTGAGGGCATTTTCAGCGTCAGCCAGCATGTGTCGGGCCAGATAGGGTCGTTGTCACTGTAGCTGACGAGGAGGCTTTGCAAACGTGGACAGGACTGGATAGCCTTTACCAAATCTGACATCTCGCCCTCCAGCATGCTATAGTCCTTTGCCGGCATTAGTGCCTGTGGCTTCCTTGAATGTTGATCGTATAATGTGCTGGCAGCTGTCCACACTTCGGGGGGCACTTCTGAGTCCGACAGACTGCTGTCTGAGTCTGAGGAGTCGGCTGACGAGAGGCGATAATTAATGGCCAGGTCTCGGGATGCAACCTGCATAGAATCCACGTATGAGGCCAAGTCAGGTCGCTGCTGGATGGTACGAGTAAATTCCTGAATCAGGCTTGGTTGGGGGACAATGTCGAGAGCCTTTTGTTTGGTAAGAACTGTCTGTCTAAGATGGATATTCCCCGTCGCATAATAGTGGTACAAGATCGGATAGGCTACGGCAGATATGCGCCGTGACGTTCTGCAAAGGAAAGCCAGTGCTCTCTTATCGTCCCGGATCTCTGGTGTATCTGCGTGAGGGAAGGCGATGGGGTCTCGACAATGCATGCAGAGGTAGCTGAGTGTGATTTGAAGGACTTCAATAGGAAGAGGCTCCATCGCGCTAACTTTTAACTTATCGTGACGCGAAAAAAAGCAGTAAATGTCACGACAAGTGAGATACGTCGTAGGAGTTGAAGAGGAATCCTAGAGGGAGGGAAGATGAGATATTGGTAAAACTCCTGATGCAGTAACCGCACGGCACAGGTACCCGACTCCATAACGACGGCTCAGTATTGTGTTGGTCACATTGTGTTGGAGCATTGTGTTGGTGGCGTTGGTTGTCTGTTGTTGTTTGTCACTTGGCAAACAAAATTAAGCGCCTAGATTGGAAGGAATAAGGACAAGACGCCGCTATCGCACCTATCCAGAGTGCCGTCTTCTCCGATGCCTTTTCGTAAATTTTCAACAACATATTCAGGCGAAGTTTTCGACGCGATCGTAGTTGAATTAGTCGGAAACTCGACGGTAGTTGAATCTACACGGGAAGGATTTGGGTTCGAACGGGAGAGGCCAAGACGTTGGAGGAGGAGGAGGATTGGATGGGCCGCATAGAAGGAAGGTCCGGGCGGCGGCCCCTAGCAAGGACCTGCCTCCTTCCAATGTGAAGTGCGAAGTGCGAGCCTCCCTGCCGTCTGTGCCTGCCCGCCCGGGGGGGGGGGGGGGGGGGGCACAAAGCTCAGACCTTTTGCTGCCCACGTCCTCCTTAGTCATCCAAGGCCCTGTGGATGAGGCAGGCAGGCACGCAGGTTAGAGGAACTCAGAGAAGGCCCCATGGCCCCCAAATCAAAAGGGCGGGCAATGGGTGCTAGGGTGGAATGTCGCACGTGGCTTCAAGCGCACCGCGCACTACAACTCCAGGCTCCATACACTAGGCAGCTGCTTGAGCTTCATCAATTTATGAAGGGCCCCTTTTGGACCCCAACATCCCAGTCGCACCTCCGTTCATCTCGTCCCATCTTACGCCTTCTACAACGACATCTCTTCGAAAGCAGCCTCTGTGAAGACCTTGTTGGAGGTAACGCGAACGTATTGGCGCTCAAAAGAAACACGAGAACTGCAGAGACTAGTCTGCCCATCGAAAAGCCTGATTTAGACTTGGCAACAGGGCTCATGGAACTATTGCTCTGCATCCGCTGACTCACAGTGACTTATATTATTTCGAGTCTATCGAAGGATCGTGGGCCTGCAACCGAGTACATCTCTGTGCCCGAAACACGAACCTTGCGGCAATAGCAGTCGTATTCTGTCACATCCGTCGCCCAACGCTGTCGATGTACCTCTGCAATCATAATTGACATTGACTTCACAACTTCGGTCTTGTCCGATCCCTGATGCACCCTAGGCCGTCTTGGGCATACTCGGTCAAGCACATACCTACTGCGTATGCTTCGGCATCACAAAACAGACATGATGACTACAGCAGTCACTCGACGCCTTGTCGATTGAGGCCAAAGGATCTTAGGTCATCTCCAGATGCGGACCAGCACCGCCTTCTGCCGTCGCTCCGGGTGCTCCACCGGGCCCCCCACGGAGCCAAGGCAGTCATTCTGGTCAGAGCACTGAGCGGAGGTTCCGGCATCACCCATCTATCTGCTTCGATGTCCGTCTTTCCCTGCCCGTCACTTCGCGATGCCTTGTGTTCGTCGTCGTCACCTGAGATGCCTCACAAGGCAATTCTATACCCAGGTACCTACGACACCGGTGACTCTTTCGCCTGCTCACCTGCAGTGTCGATCATGGTCGGGGGAATAACCGCCGGTGTCTTACCAACGACGGGACCAACGGCGATGAGCGGACCGTCCGTTCTTCACCGACGATAGGACTCAAATACCGAGCAGCTCCGGAGCTTTGTAATGGCTACGCGTATCTAACGTCGAGACGTACGGGTAACGCCGGAGGCAGTCGCAGCCTTCACTGCAATCAACGAATCAAGATTGCACCGGTGACCGTCAAGCTGGCTGAGGCGGTTAGATCATTCCCCTGTCGCATCGGTCAGTTGCTCAATTGAGATGCGCTGGTTGTCCTTATGTCAGCCTCCATCCCTCCAATCGACCGTACCATACACCGTCCCCCACCTTGGAGCGTCTTCAGTCTTCATTGCTCAGAGGTGTTTGAGCAGAAGAACATCTGCACAGCCTCGAAGATGCTGACAGAGACATACGCTGTGGCTGCTACGCGATCTCAACCGGGCCGACCTGAGACGTCTCTCTAGGCAGGCTAGGCTGGTGCTTACTTTTTTCTCTGCACAGGTGGTCTCCTTGGACTACTCAGCCCTACACGTCCGACCTCTTCCCTGCCGGCGGCTCTCCCATTCGCCAAACAACACTTGGTCACAATCTTTTCCTGTCTCTTTTAGCGCATCGACTAATGATGATGCACCAGTCCATGTAACCAAACCCGTCGCCTTGGATTCTGTCCCTGTCCCCCTTGTTTCCAAAAGTTCGGAGGACGAGCCACACCCTTGGCCCTCTGAAGACCAGAAACGGAAATGAGCCATTGATATGACAGCCTATTGCGGAGCTGCTGGGTTACTTACAGGGAACTGACTTGGAAGCCACATCTGCCCAGATCACCACAATCCAGGCCTGCAGCACCCGGCGCATGGCATCTCCCCTCGCCTCGCACATTGCATCTCACATCATGACGAGGAACCTTGCGAAGCCCACCATCACGTCGCCCGGGCTTCTGGTCTGCCGCATGCCGAGTGGTCTGCAGACCGATGACAGTGACACACACACAGACACCACACGCATACCACATGCGCGCGCGGCGGGCAGTGATGGATGGCGACTTTACTTCGTTTCCGTCACATAGGGAATAAGGAAAGGTGTTACGATACGTCCTCGTAGTACTTCGTGGAAAGAAGGCTAAAGCTTGTCCTTCATGGGTCCCTTTTTTTTTTTCTCTCTATTACCCGCCCCCGGTCGTATTTCTTTGGTTGCCTTGGGTACATGTCATCGCCCTCCACATATCCCAAATTTGGAAAGCAAAAGGGCTGCCTAGAGAGAGCGAGACAGAGAAGCCGTGGGGGCCGTGCCGAAACTAGCATCGCAGGTATCTCAATCTCCCACACAAGCCCAACGCCCCAAAACACCAAGCCGTTGCGATACCCGTTTACCGGGCGTCCGCGCCCCCTCGCGCGGAGGCTGAGATGCCAAGTCGAGGTACCAACGGCTGGGGTTTCTTTTCTTTCTGCCCCCCCTTGACCTGAGGTAAATCGTAAAGGTAGGTAGGGCTGGGATCTCACTCCGTACCTGTCTACCTCACCTCTACACGATGAGCCTCATCAACACCCACCCCCAGTCGCTTGATATGAGAGAGAATATGGATGCCTTGAGGCCTATATAAACTACATGATATATCCCCATCTGAGGCAGGAATATAATCCATCATCACACTCACAATCCAGACTCACAAGCCTAAACACCGCTCTCATACACAATCTCAAAGTCTCTTGACTCATACACACAAATCACTTACACCATCAACAACCTCATCTATATTACACCAAACCCAATCTACCCCAACACACACCAATCATCTCAAACCTCAGAAACTCATTCCATCACAATGGCCGCCTTCACTCTTCTGTTCACTCCCACCGCCACCGTCTACGGACGCTCAGGCTACAACAAGGACGGCGACGACGAGGAGAAGAACGACCGCGGCCGCTCCGGATATAACAAGGACGGCGATGACGACGACGAGAGCCAGAACAAGGGCCGCTCCGGCTACAACAAGGATGGCGACGACGAGGAGGACAAATAAGCGTCTCGCCCCCTTCTTCGCGCCAACCTGTCTTCTGGGTTCATCAATCCCATGAGGACTTTGGTTACCAGGCTTCGCATCCTTCAATCTTCCTGCCACGGCTTTGCCTCTTCAAGCCTCAACGCCTTGAATGACACGACGAGGCCGCCACATCAGACATGCGAGCTCAACCTTTCCTATCCTATCAGCATTAGACCGGCGTTTCATCACTTGCATCCGTCCGCCCACTGCGCCCTTCACTTCCTTGCGCGAGCATGGAAGATCGGGCTTTAAAACGGTGCTGGCGGCGGCGTTTCTTCTTCTTTTTTCTTATCTCATGCATTGGGTCGGAGTTTGGGGTTAGACGGTAGCATCGCGACGGATTACACTCCTTCTTTACTTTCTCTTCTTTATTCGTTGGGATTAGGGACTGCATAGCAAGCATAGCAAGCTTCTCTTGGAGGAGGATTGTTTTCTTTTGTTGCATTGGGCCGGCGTTGACGGATTTGATTCGCATCTCTGCTTCTTCTTCTTCCCCCTTTCTCTCCTCTATCTCTCTCTTATGTCTTTGGCAGATTAGAATTAGCTATATGAGGACTTCACCGTCCGGGATTCGATAGTAGTCTAATCACTATTTTCCTACACAAAACCTGAAGAAAGCCAAAACGTGTCAGTGAACTGTGTAAAAACACATAAGAGATAAAAGATACTTGGTACTCACTTTTCAAAAATCACCCCGAGCACCTCTTCCACATCCCCCGCCTCAACTCGCCCCGTAATCTTGGCAAGACTATCTGCCGCGTACCGTAGGTGCTCCGCCGCCAGAACAATATCAGGCTCCTCGCCGTCTCCCCCTTCTTCAGGGTGCGCAACGGCCATGAAGTCGTCCAAGAACCCGCGGCACTGCTCAAGTAGCTGCGCCTGCCTGGCCGTGACGCCCAGCAGGTCTTGCTGGTCCACGGGGAGGGCCGTCATGCGGGCGAACGACTCGACGATCTGATCGATGAGCCCGTGGATCGCCCCTGGGTCTTTCTGACTGGCGCTGGCGTTGGCGGGGGAGGAAGGGGACTTGGCTTGCACTTCGGCTTCGCGGCAGGAGATGGTGATGATCTCCGTTGTGTGTAGGTTTGGTGCTTGAGAGGCTGCTTCGCTTCTAAAGCGCTCGAGGAGGCTGGAGAAGGTGGCGGCGTCGACGGCGTCGCGCTTGTTGACTACGATCAAGCAGGCCTGCGCCTCGGATGCCAGTTGTAATGTTTCGGCGTCGTAGTTGATCCGGAAGCCGCCGTCGGGACCTGGTTTAGGCTCGACGGCCGCCAAGACGATGATGATGTCGGATTCCGAGGCCTTTTGCTTCGCGCGCCGGATACCCTCCTCTTCTACGAGTCCCAACGCAGGTTCAGAGGGGTCACCACCACCGCCCTCGCCGGCAGCAAGTCTCGTCCTGATACCAGCTGTATCCGCGAAAGAGCAGAGGTACCCCCGTATATCGAGACTTACCTCGACAACATCCCGCGTCGTACCTGCCTCCATCGAAACAATGGACGCTTCCCTCCCAACGACGAGATTCATCAGCGAGCTCTTGCCAACATTGGGCGGGCCGAGCAGCGCGATGCGGATACCGTTGCGCAACAGCTCGCTGCGCTGCCCGCCCTCCTCGTGGACCCGGATCCCGTGCCGCATCTCGGCGACGAGCGCGCTGACGTTGCTCATCAGCTCTGCCGGGGACTCATCAAAGTGCTGGTCCTCCGCAAAGTCAATGAGAGCCTCGATCTCGCCCCTGGCTAGGAGGAGCTGCTCGCGCCACGCCTCGTAGGTCCGGCCTAGACTGCCCGAGCTGCCGCGCACCGCGGCGCGGCGCTGTTGCTCCGTGTCGGCGGAGAGGGTGTCGCCTAGGGACTCTACCTGTGCGAGGTCGAGTCTGTCGTTGAGGAAGGCTCGTTTGGTGAATTCGCCTGGTTCGGCGTAGCGGATGACGCTACTGCTATCGGAGGCGGAGGTGCATCGCGGGATCGCGGCGAGGACTGCCTTGACTGTTGCGGGGCCGCCGTGGACGTGGAGTTCTAGGACGTCTTCACCGGTTACTGTTTTGGGTCCGGGGAAGTACAGCACCAAGGCATTTGAATCCAAGATTGGTGCTTCCTCGCCGGCTTGCCCGTCTATGAGGGTCCTGACTGATGCATATCGAGGTTTCGGTAATGCCTTATTCGGGCATAGACCTTTGTAGACCTGGATTTGGTTTTAGTGCTGAGATCTCACCAGATTTGCTGGAAGCACTCTTACATCTGTACATCCTGGACCAGACACGCGTATTACGGCGATTCCGGCCCGGCCTTGTGCTGTTGACAAGGCATAGATGGTGTCTTCTTTGAAAATAATCTCTGAAGTCGATGTGATGAATCGTGACTGAGGCCTCGTGTCTTGCAGTGTGTTTCGTTGGTAGAAGGGGCCTAAAGCAGGCGATCCTAACGCCAGGGGCCGAAATCTCAATGAACTGTAACCTCGACCACTAAGACATTTTGGAGTTGTAAAGGGGAGGTTTCGGCCGAGGCTCCTCGTTGACCGAACAAGAGCATACATGGACTAATAACACAGTGAAAAGAAAGAAAAAATGAATAGATTAAGTGCAGGACGACTACATCCGCATTGCGATCAAAAATACACGAATGTGATATTGCATGAGATGAGAGCAACGAAATGCTCACTGAACGAACGATTGAGCAGGTTGACGGACACTGTAGTTCCAATTTGGAAGCTATTGCAATTCGTGACGTTCTATTGGCCAGCCGGGCCGCTTTGCACCCGAGCTTATCGCGATAAGACACATGCCCCTGCAACTTGCCCGTTGGATGGAATTTTTTTTTGTAGCGTCGAGAACGAGGAAAACCAACCTGGAAGCGCCCCGCCGCCTCGGTTTTCTTCCAGCACTCGACGTACGGCAAGACCTTTTTAACAACTCTCAACCTCGTCCATTTTTGCCCAAAACCGCCACAATGGCGTCCGACGAGATTATCTGGTAAGTCTAGACTTGAAAAGAGAATTGCCGACTTCAATTCTAATCCGCCCCGCGCTAGGCAAATCATCAACCAGCAGTTCTGCAGTTTCAAACTCTCCACAGAGAAGAAGCAGACGTTTTGCAGAAACGAGAACAATGTCACAGGTCTCTGCAACCGACAATCATGCCCGCTGGCAAACTCTCGCTATGCCACCGTTCGACGCGCTCCGAACAAGGACACGCTGTACCTTTACATGAAGACGATCGAACGTGCGCATATGCCCTCGAAGCTATGGGAGCGCATCAAGCTACCCAACAACTACGCCAAGGCCCTGGAGATGCTTGACGAGAAGCTCATCTACTGGCCCAAGTTCCTCGTCCACAAGTGCAAGCAGCGTCTCACCCGTCTCACACAAGTCAACATTCGCATGCGGAAGATCGCCGCCGAGGAGGAGCGCATGGGCGAGAAGCTGGTACCGAAGATGGCGCCCAAGATCCGGCGTCGCGAGGAGGCCAGAGAGCGCAAGGCAGAGGCCGCCGCGAAGCTGGAGCGTACCATTGAGCGCGAGCTAGTCGAGAGATTACGTTCCGGCGCCTACGGCGACCAGCCCCTCAACGTCAGCGAGTCGATCTGGAGGAGAGTCCTCAATTCCATGGAGAAGGAGGGCGCTGGCAAGCGTGATAAGGACATGGACCCTGGTATGGAATCGGAGCAAGAGGGTGAAGGAGAGGACGAGTCCGAGGACGACTTGGAGAAGGAGATTGAGTACGTCTCCGACATTGAGGAGAGTGATGAGGAGCTCGAGGACATTGAGGACTGGCTCGAGAGCGACGATGATGCCGAGGACGATGACGAGGAGGAGGACGACGACTCTGAGGACAGCGACGAGGAAGCGGCTCGCAAGGCTGGCGACAAGCGGAAGCGCGGCCGGGCGGTCAAGATGAACCAGAAGAGGCTGAAGCAGAAGCAGGAGGAGCGCCCCAAGATTGCGGAGGAATTGACCTGGTAAGAGGCTCGCATGGAATTCCAATGGCGTCTGGCGCGGATACCTTTACGGCTGATTACGGGACGGAAAATCAAAAACTGGGGGCATTGTGCATACTACCGTGTGTTGTGATATACCTATTATCAGAATGGTTGTTTAATATTGCTGCATTATCGTCCTTTGGGGTGTCTACATATCGTGCTTCTCTCGCAACTGTCCTCTGTCTCACATTTCACTTTTATCTTATCCATATGCTCGATACTCCTACTTCAGGCATCTCGACCGTGGATCGCTTGAAATGTGAGGTCGTTGAAATAGGCGATTGCCTAGTAATGTGCATGCTTGTGCAAATCTCTGGTACAAAAATCTTCCATAGCCGGAGAGTCAAGACTTGCGTGTGATATGCACGCGGCCTGGAGCGGTGATCGATCCATGCTTCACCGAAACTTACTCGAGCCGGGGGGCTTTCGGTGAAGACAAAGCGCCTCCATTAGTGCAAGTTCCTTTAGAACAATGCGGGTAGGTCGTAGGTCCAGGCCCCACCACCCTGCATCATTCCGTCGGGCGACAAGTGTCGGACCCGTCAACCCAGGTCGCTTCCCATTCCCTATCATTCAAGACGGGCTTATTTGAAACGGACCACTTCAAGCAACCCTCCAAAATTAAAACAGCACAACGAAACCATCCGCCGGCTTTTTGAGTCCCAAGTTCTCCTTTTATCACTACCCATTTTCGATAGCGAGCGAGCGACTGTAACTACGAAACCCGACGAGTAACCTTCGTCCCCGGAGCAGAGCTCTTTACCCCAACCCGTCCGAAAACAATCGAAAACAGCGCCTTTGGCCTTTGCCTTTGCCCCGCAGGATCCTCGCGGCAAGTAACAAGGCACGATGTCATCTTGGTACTCGAGGATCCTCACCAACACCACCTCTCAGATCTCGAACCTGCAGAGTCGCTTGTTGCAGAGCGAAAATGACGGCGACACGGAAGACGACACCCACGTGTGCAGAGTGCTGAGAGGCTACTACACCGAGAAGGGCCGTCCGTTCCCTGGCTGGCTGCCGCCCGACCCAAAGGCACCACCCCCAGCAGCACCCGTCTACGCCCAGCCAGCCCAACAAGTCGGCTCACGATACGGAGGTTTGCAACAGCCACAGCAAGCTGGTCCTGCGACGGGCTTGAGCTCTCTGTGGGACAACAACGGCGGCGCACAACAGAGGCAGGACACGATGAGCCTGCGACAAGGTCGCGGGGCTCCCCCACCGATGCGAGGCGCCGAGCAGCAGCCTGCGCGACTGAGCCCCTTTGCCCGAGCCGGAGACAATGGACGCGAAGAGGTGCAGGCCCGACCTCTGCCCAGTCAGCGAGCGGGCAGCTACCAGCAGAGTGCGGCCTACGGAAGGGATACGACGAGCACACCGCCTGGAAGCTCAGCGGGCGGCTCAGCACAGGATCGGCTTAAGCAGCGACTATGGGGAGGTGCGAGAACAACCAGTCCGGCGTCCGGAGGCCAAGGACCATTCCAACCACCGACGGGCAGAGGCGGGAGCGGTGACTACGAGGACCGATTTGCCCCGGGCGGCATGTACGAAGGGGGAGGCGGTGGTGGCGGCGGTGGTGGCAGTGGTGGGCGAACAGGACTGCCTGCTGGTCCAAGACGTCAAGGTCTCCCAAGTGGTCCTCGTATGAGGTAGAGTGTACGGGGAGCAGCGCGCTGAACACGGGCGAAAACATATATCGGGGGTGCCAGGTCCTTACTCGGGGATTCTTCATGACGATGCGGGCATTCGCGGTCAAGATGCTTGGCCGGCCGGAGCCAACAGTCGGCTTATTGTGAGGATCTGTGGACCGTATGTAGACGGTGGGTAGATCCTCGGGGCAGGGCGAGAGTGCGGATGTTGCTTGGAGAGATGTATTCGGAAAGGTGCGAGAGCAGAGCTGAGGCACATACATACACACAATACAGACACTACTAATCATGAATTTGGACTGGTTTCGCTGGCCTTGATGTAGTATTCGGCCTGCTAAGCTTCATCGAAAGCTACCGGTATGTCGCATGCTTCCGTCGTAACGGAGTATGCCTCGATGCGCGAAATAGCGATGGTAAGTGAGTCACGACTTGTTCTACGCCTAGTATCATATAACAGAAGGGCGAAACGGCGAGTCCGCGACGAAGCTTCATCTCTCGCGAGGCCGGATTTGGCGACGATGGAGCGAGTTGCTTGCGCGTGCAATACGCAGCCTCGGAAGGGCCAATCGGAGGCGTGAATGACGACGCATGCATGCTGCAGATGACATGGTTCACCCCGATGCGCGGGTAGCTATACCGTCATTGTACGCTAAAAGGCTGCCTAAACTGCGGTACAGATACAGTGGGAACAACCCCTCCGAGACATGGATGCAAGCTTTCGCAGCGGGGTGATTCAGTGACGGAAGTGGGTGGCCACGCCCCTCAGAGGCCGACGACTGCGCAGCACCTTGGGCTACTCGCCCCCAACGTCCCATATCATTAGCCACAGTTCGCTCGCATGCCACTTTTCCCCGGATCATCCTTTTTTGTTCTCGCTCTTATCACTTTACTTTCTCACCGGAAACTCTTACAGTAGAGCCACTGTCGCAATATTTCAGCTTCCTGAATAGCTTCACCCGAAACAATAGCAGGCGTCCGGAGCTGAAGTCTCCCGCACACCCCCAGCTTACATCGCCAGCGGCGCACTGCACGATGACCTCAGACTCAGATCCCCCGCCGTCCGCCAACGCTCCACCACCAACGCGACCTCGCTCGCCCTCGGGGAGCTTCTACGCCCTCAGCGACGACGAGGAAGGGGATTATAATACAATCACGCACACAGAGACAGGACGGGGCGTCAAGCTTCTTTTCTCTAAGAGCAAGGTATGTTGCAGAAGCCACTCTCGCCACCCACACTCCAAAGATCGGGACTAACGGAACGTTGCAACGGCGCAGGTTTATGTTCACCCCACGCCATCAGCGAAAGATAATATCCCAGGCTACATAGCCCTACTCCAGCAAAAAGGAGGCTCAAGCGAACGACCGAGCTCCTCCTCATCTCGAGACTCTCGCAACCCACCTCCCTCCAACTTGCTCCTAGCATGGCTCCCCGAAACCTCCCTCGGCGAATCCGAGAGTATTTACGTCAAAGTCGACCTTAGCGAAGGTGAATCGCCGCCTAAGCAATCGTACCTAGTGCCTCCTCCGCCGACAGTCACATCCCACCGAGGTTCTGTAGGCACATATGCTTTCGCTATCCCCGTCAGCGCAATATACTCGCTTCTCGTGAGACCACCGAGCCTGGGTTGGTGGTTCGGGTCTCTGATCATCAACTCGAGAGCCGGCGACAGCTTCCCCGCGCTGTTCTTCCACGACAGCGAATGTCAAAGCACGATCCTCAAGAGGAAGAGGCGGACGAGGGACAGCTTCGACCCGTTCGGTGACCGAGGTGAGATGTTTTGGGGCGGCGATGAGGTCCTGCGTTGGTTGCGGCGCTACGTCCCTATCGAGAGATCCGGTGCAGAGCCCAACATCTACTTGGTGGAGCCGTCAAAGGAGGATAGCGATGCATTCAGTGGCAAGCTCACTTCCAGTACGGCTCAGGTCGGTCAAAAGGACGGTACTGGGACTCGAGCCGGCGGCGCTGGCCCCAGTGGCGACGCGCAGATGGATCCCTTTGTGAAGCTCATCAAAGAAACCGGGTGGAACATCATGGAAAAGTTCAGCAAGGTTACCACTTTCACCAGGAGGGCTGCCCAAGATGTGATACAGAATCCCAACGTTCCCCCGCAAGTCAAGAGGCTTCTTCGGAATCCAGAGGTACAGACTCTCCAAGATGAGTTTGACAGCGCGAGGATTTATTTGGCGCGCTGGGCTATGGGAATTGCCGAACAAAGTGAGCGGGATCGGAGTCAAAGGATATGGACTGCTAAGGAGGTCTTGGAGCTCGAAGACACCGATGTCGGGGAGTTTGAGCTCCTTGACGGCAGTAGCACCATGTCATTGGAGGACAGAAGAAAAACCGTGACGTTGAAAGAATGGAACACGTTCTTCGATCCACGGACTGGGAGGTTGTCCGTCACTGTCGACGAAGTCAAAGAGCGGGTGTTTCACGGAGGACTGGACCCCGACGACGGTGTAAGAAAAGAAGCGTGGCTCTTTATCCTCGGGGTTCATGACTGGTATAGTACCGCGGAGGAGCGAAAAGCCCATCTCGCATCCTTACGAGATGAGTACGTCAAGTTGAAGGGCGCATGGTGGGAGAGACTGGTGGACTTGGGAGGCGAGGGCGAACAGGGTGAGTGGTGGCGTGAGCAGCGTGGGCGAATTGGTAAGTCTCTACAATGATCACTTGTGTTTAGCCTTGACTAACATCATGGCAGAAAAGGATGTCCACCGGACAGATCGCAACGTGCCCATCTTCGCTGGAGAAGATATCCCGCACCCCGATCCCGACTCTCCCTTTTCTGAGGTCGGGACCAACGTCCACCTTGAGCAGATGAAGGACATGCTCCTGACGTACAACGAGTACAACAAGGATCTCGGATACGTGCAGGGAATGTCTGACCTCCTTGCTCCCATCTACGCCGTTATGCAGGACGACGCCATCGCCTTCTGGGGCTTCCAGCACTTCATGGACCGGATGGAGCGCAACTTCCTACGCGATCAGTCGGGTATGCGGTCTCAGCTGCTGACCCTTGACCATCTCGTTCAGTTTATGGATCCCAAACTTTACGCTCACCTGCAGTCTGCGGATAGCACCAACTTTTTCTTCTTTTTCCGCATGTTGCTCGTCTGGTATAAACGGGAGTTCGAGTGGATGGACGTACTGCGTCTTTGGGAGACTCTGTGGACGGACTATTTGAGCAGCAGCTTCCACCTCTTTGTGGCCTTAGCCATTTTGGAGAAGCACCGAGACGTCATCATGACTCACCTGCAACATTTCGATGAGGTGCTCAAATACGGTATGTGATACTCTGAAACACTATCCAACCTAGACTTACTAATCTTGTACAGTCAACGAGCTTTCCAATACCATGGATCTTGACTCAACTCTCATTCGCGCGGAAGCGCTGTTCCGCCGCTTCCACCGCCTGGTTGAGGCCGTCGATAAGAAGGGCAATTTCCCAGGACCAAGGATCAAAGACCCGGGCTCTCCTTCCAAGTCGGTATCCACCGACAAAGCTCCGCAAGAGGGCCAAAGCAGTGCAGGCCCAGCATCGCCACGCAAGGACAAGAATAAGGCAACCGAAGAGCCCGAGGTCAAAAAGGATATCACTCCGGAGTTGAGGGAGCTGCTCAGTCGGAAGGTCGTGATCTTGCCGCGGACAGAAGTAGCGAAGAAGGGCGACGGACCCGGACGGTCATGAAGAACACAAGTTACACAAGGATATGACGGAAAGAAAGCATGGGTTGGAAATGGGCGGTAAATGGCATTTTGGGCGTCTGGGCGTGGTGTCTGGACTAAATAGCGATCGGAGGGTGAGAACACTTACGCTGCAACATGTACGATACGTCCTTCCGCCCCCTAATACAGAGTTTTGTTGGCGGCACCTATGAGAACAAGATTACGGTGACCTTTACTTTGTTCTAGATTTGCCCGAAAAAAGAAGTGTGGTTCAAGGCCCCACGTGTGACGCCGATGAGGGTCCCGGAAGCCCGGCTTCAATGATGGTGGAGGATGCCTTTCTCAAGGTTCTCCGGCTCAGCCGCCTCCGAAGGGGTTCAGGGGCAGCGCAGCTGCAGCGTCGCCTTCCCCGGAGCAAGTGTCCGCCAACGTTTTAGGCAGACAAAGAGGCAGACAGAAAGGAGAAGCGAGACCAAAAAAAAGGTTGTGCCATTGTTGGGTTGGGCTCTGCCACGTTCCCGCAGTCTGGTCTAAGTGCACTTAGACCGTGTTGGGTGCATCGTTAGCCTCAATCCCGCAAGAGACGCGGGTCAGCTTTTGGTGTTTTGGTTTTGGAGCTAGCATCGTTGTCCCCCTTCCCCCCCTCCACACCTTTTTTCCAATCCGTTTTTACTATGGACTTCCCTCTCCCCTCTCCCATCCATGCTTTGTTGGAAGGTCTCCCGAACCTGTGACCTCACCAGCTCCGTCTTGGCCTTCACGTCATGCGTTGGGCGAGGGTGAGTCCCGCTAGTCGAGGTCACCCGGGCATGAGACAGACGGCCAGGTAAGCTTTGGGGGAGGGACGAGGCAGCAACAACAGAATTAAACGGTACTGCCTCAGTCTAATGCGTGTTCAAGGAGAAGGATGGTTCTGGAATCGCTTGGAGCCGGGGGGAACGTGAGTATTGTAGGTCGTAGGAGACCTCCCTGTCCATTACCTTTTGGTGTGTGTATCTTGGGCTGCGTTGCCTTGCATTCTTAGGTAGTATAGAAGTCCCAGGCTGCCACCCCCTTTTTTTTATGCTTTGGTTTCGAGACATCACGAGGACAACTCACTCAACATATCAGCACTTGTTTGTTGGCGGCGTCACGTTCGGAACTCAGCCGTCGGCATTCAGCTCTCTCGGACTTGCAGCCCGTCAGCCCACGACTACAACTACAACTACAACTACACCTTCTCACACCCCCCTCCGCACGATATCCCCTTGATAACGTTCCCAAAACGACACAAAAACAGCTTTAAACAAGCATAAAACAACCCCTACAACAAACACCTATACACAATAGAAGGGAAAAGAGACGAGAGAGAGAGAGAGAGAGACAGACGAAAAGGCGCAACTTCTCCCCCCTTCCGCAACAATGCCCTCGCACCACGGCGGTCACGGTGGTGAAGGTCACGGCGGCGGCGGCGGCGGCGTCGCTGAGGTAGTCAAGGACCGCGCCTCCGTCGTCGTCAACGAGATCTCCCGCGGGCCCGTCAACAACGAGATCATCCTCGCGAATCGAGAACGAGATATCGCCGTCGTGCCGCCGGGCGCGCAGGTCATTAATGAGGTCACCACCACCGAGGTCTTCCCTGGTCGTCCGGGGTATGGGTATGGATATGGGCCCGGACCGGCGGGCTACCAGCTCTGTTTGCAGTGTAGGCGTTGTAAGTGCCACTCTCCTGTCGTTGCGTTTCTGTCATTCCCGTCTCCGACGATCATTGTCGTCGTCGTCGTTTCTCGCCCCTGAACTCCGATGGAACGAGGACATTTCTTTTCGTCTGACTTAACCCCCTATATCATGACCACTGAAACTGACATCATACCTCCAACCCCGATAGACTGGCACAACTCCTTCTCCGAAACGGTCTGCTACCGCTGCCGCTCGTCCTACGGCTACCGAGACCGCTTCGACGACCGGTACAGCTACCGATCGGGGTACAGCTCGAGCTACGGCTACGGGTCGGAGCGGTGCTCCTACTGCGAGCGACTGCGGTTCGAAGGGCCCGGGTACCACGGCGGCGTGAGCATTTGTAGGGACCGTTATGGTCGGCCTGCGTTGTGCAGACCGAGAAGGGTGTTGGTTGAGAAAAAGACTGTGAAGAAGTATTACTACTGAAGGCATGGAGTCTTTCCCCGTGATGGAAGGTTGCGTTGCTGAAGCTTTGGGTTCTGGTTGGCTTCTTTCATCCTTTCTCTTCTCATCAATCCCGTTGTATTCTGGTTTGTGGTTAGGGAGGGGAGATCACGGCCACGCTGATAGCTGTGGTCTCGGGCTTTCCTTGCGCAGCATTCATTTCTTTTTGTCTCATCTCTTCTTGCATGCATGTACGTTTTCTCACTATGATTTCGGTACTGAGTAGCCAGTTTCTGGAGGGTCTTTTTTTCTCTTTTCGATATCTCGCTCATTGTTTCGCGAAGAACGTCATCCCGAGTGGGCGTGACAGTTGGATAGACTTCCTCATTTATTTCAAACGCAAGTTTGTCTTTCTGCGTCATGTAAGGATAGCTAGCTTTGTCATAATAGCTTAATATATACAAATGACTGCAGCTGCTCGGTCCCCATGTGTTGCGTCGGCATAGGAATGGGGAACCTTGCATTCATACTCGACATCTGCCTCCTTCTAGCTGCTCGGCATGTTGATGTGTTGGCACATCACAACCTCTTGTCATGAAGACTCGACTCTTGCTAAGGAAAGAGCAAAATCTGACTAGGCTTCACCTGAAAAAGGCACACCTCATACATCTTCCATTGCTGCCTACCTACCTTATCCTTCCTTTCCGTCCTGTCTGCCTTCCCCAAGGGACGAAGTCATGGGAATGCTTCAGACATTCTTGTGAATATTCGACAGACTCTGATGAAGCCAAAATCCCCCTTCATACCTACCCGAGAGTGGTCTCCTTCCACTTTTTGCCAGGGTGAAAAGAAGCCACGTCAAACGCCCGCTGATACACCTTCGCCAACCCAGTCCTCTTAGCAATACTGTGTTCCTTGTTCCACGTGATGACAAACGCGTAGTACAGATGCCACTCTGACACTTCGCGATCCTCTGGCACATAATAGTTCCAGGTGTCCAGCTCCTCTATCGAAAAGTCGCGGGCATCCGAGATGGCGGCGAGCTCGACGACATCGCCTACGCGCGCGAACTACGTGTTTTCCAGGATCACGGTACCGCACCAGTCGTCGTGGGCATCGAGGAGGCCGAAGCGGTGGAGGCCTGCCTCGAGCTTTGAGGCAAACGACGGGCTGCTGCGGCTTGTTCTGGAGAGCTGGAAGAATGCGGTATACGCCCAGAAGTAAAGGTAATCTTCTCGCAGAATGATTGTGGTGGGCATGGTTGGTTTGGACTAGAAAGCTTATATCATATTCACGGTCAGATCCAGACGAATTGATGATGAAAATGGTAAATGTGCTTGCCATAATCGTAGGTATTGCTGTAGCTTCAGAGTAGGTGCTGGAAAACTGCAAAGTGTGATTTGAAAGTCTTGAGGAATCTAGAAAGCAATCTTGTAAAGAGCCTCGAGGGTTTGTATATGCACCGTAAGATGAAATGGCATTGTAGAGTGTGGTCTTCAGAGCCCCCGAGCCCCGTTACTGTGTGGAAATATTGTCAATCGAGCCTAAGACCAATATCTTGAGCTCATACGCCAGTCTGCAGGTTGAAAAAAGATGATGCATTCGGTCCCCGTTCTCGGGAAAGTGTATGCCAGTCAGCCAGCCACTACTCTCAGCTCCTGCATCCAAATCTTCAACATCAAATGTGACACAATTTTGATCGGCTTCTTATTCTGGCTGTTAAGCCATTGCATCGTCATCGTCCGTGGTATCTACTTTCATCATTGACGAGTGATGAATGGCAACTGTAACACGGCAGCACTCGTTCAGACATTGGCATCAAGTTGCCGGATCAATCCTGCGAGGGACGCAAAACCACCTGGGCTGTTGTATACGATGACAATTGGGAATATTGCGATGATCTAGAAGATCAGGCCTGATTACCAGAGAGATCAGTGCGACACAACAAGTACTTCGGCACGGCTCGCAGTGCGGGGAAATAAGAGACAGGCACACCATAGCTGCCGACCCGCCAGCCCCAAATTCTTAGTGATTGTCACTGTGTTGGGATAGAGTGCCTTGTTAACTTTTGAAGGCCCCAAGCCGTCTTGTACGAGACGACATTGAGCCGTTGATATATACAGCATAAGACCGCTGAATATCCGGATCTCTCGTTGAATATGGTGACCAGTGCCACTAGAGAGGGAACAACCAGGCTGAGGCCTGCAGCTTTATACACAATTTCTCGATAACACTGGCAATTGGTAATGATAGAAATATAGGCTCACTCGGTAATCAAGATGTGTCAAAAAGAGAGACGCGTCCGGAGTCCGGAGTGTGGCTGGCTGAAAATGCTCGTATGCCTCGCGCATTCCAGTAGTCCGAGTTCGTCTAAGAAGAAACCCCAACACGTTGTGGTTTTATTCTTACATCAACTTCAAGCATACGGCAGTGACTGGGATAGAAACGCCTTTGAAGGTCTGGCACCTGCAGGCTGCAAGCTATGTCCCGAAATTCAACTATCTGTTCTTTTCCGAAAAAACTCGTTAGACATGCTGCAATGGACTTTGTGAAAATCACAATTTGCATGCCATGCCGATAGGTCTTGTTTTTCGCTGTTTTCAGGCAGTCTAGCCCGCTTCCATTCACCGGCTGACCTTACACTTGATACTTAAGGTTTGCCTGACTGGAGTTTCCAGCTTCGTTATGACCAGCCGAGAGCGTGGCTATACGCACCCACAACTTTCCCTTGTCTCACTACGAAACCGGATTATTCGGTATGTCTAGACGTCGTGCCAAAGGCTGAGATCGCTTGACTACACAAGTTGTAGGGATGAACTAGACCAGTGTAGGATGCATACAGTCTAATTGTTTATTAGATGATCAGGGCTGATAATCAAAACTATGCACCCGGACAAGATCTATAATCTCTACTTGTAAGCACACAAACTGCACTCACCTAGAAGAGATACAGGCTCTTAAGACCTCGTTCGGTTTTCCTACTTGCACGCACCGTCTTCCATCAGGTTCATCTTCTGGGGTTTTATAATTAATCTTCTCTTATCAACGCCCTACACTTTCAGCCCATTTTCATCATGGCCAACGTCAAGATCACCGTGAAGAACCAGAGCGAAAGGGCCCAACAGTTTCTCATCCTCAACGAGAAGCCAACATACTCTGAGTCAGTCGGCAGGGCTTGGACCACCGTCTGGGGCTGCTCGCCAGGAACGCCAGGAAGACATGGCACTGCTCGCTTCTCCGTTGAGGAGCACTACTATGCTGTGTGCGGCATGACCCCGGAGGCGTTGCAAACCAATCTGATTGTAAACACATCGGACTTCGACAAGGTGAATCTAGGAACCGGGCAAGAAAAGGGCAGCCTGGAGACGCTGGAAATCCAAGACGGGGGTGTCGCCTTCGAAAAGGGGGACAAGAGAGACCTTGATAAGGATGGCTCTTTCGGAATCGATATTACCGCGTACGATTCCAGAGAGTATGGTGAGCCCCCCCCCACCTCTCTCTTTCTCTCTCTATCTCGGGCCACCTCTGACCTATGTTGGATTCACAATCACATTGTGTGCATTTCACTAACTACAAGCTTAGAGAACGTTTTCTGTGGCCTCGGTATGAAAAGCCCAACTCCGGGCGAGGACCAGGAAGTCATACCAGTCTCCGTATGGCGACCCGATTCCAACCAAAGGTATCAAATCACTCCCAAGAGGATCTATTATATCTCGACCGGACACTTCATTCCGGGGACGGTTATCGACCTTGTCCAGCTAGGAAGAGCCGTAACTATCGACTTTGCGGGTAAGAAGGAAACCGTCGCCACGGTGATCTACAACACCGAGTCCGATTTCCTTCCGGTGAAGTACAGCTTCGACAATTAAAGCCATAATGGAACGGATGTGTAGGCCTCTTGAAGAGAGGGATCTTCCCACATCTATCAAGCAGAGTCACAATTGGCCTATGGTCAATTGTTGAGTTGCAGTCTTTGAAGGAATCGCAATGAGGGGCGGCTTGGAGTGTCTCAGGATAGCTTAAATGGGATACATAGGTAGATCTTATTCAACTTGGGTTTCCAGATAGTGACCCAGCTCAAAGCTTTTATTTAGCTCCAAAGTCTTTTGACTCCTACCGCAAAAGTTGTAACGCGGTTATGTGAAAGGATTAAATAATGTTGTACAAGAGCACCAAAGTATGTTGTTAGACGTGCTGTAAAGCTACTTGTCCGGGCTCATACGTGGCCGACCAATACTCATAGATCTGAGCTTGCGGATGGAATGTCATCTTCCTAGGAGTTTGTATTTAGAACCTTAGCTTGTGAGACTTCTCGTAAGCCATTCTTGATCGCGACGGGAGTAGACAGATTTGACTACTACCGGGGCATGTGTATGGCGTCTGAGGAGATGAAATGGGATGGGAGTTCATAGAACGAGCCGAGGTAAATTTTTTTTTTTTTGATAGCGTGAGAAATTTCACCCGCAGGTTGAAACGACAGCAGTGCAGCACTGGTATGAGTGGACGAAGAGGAAATGAGGAGGGCCAGCTTAGGTAGTAGAACCGCGGCAAAGGCCTGTCTGATACTCCGTACTGAGTACGCGATAACGAACACCACATGAAATTTCATTCTTTAGTAGCCGTTGTGTGCCCCGCTGACGTTGAAGCGTATAAGTCGGCAGACGCTATTTAAGGACCGGGGGTGACAGTCATAGTCTGAGATAACGCCAAAACGTTTTGGCCCATGGTGGTCCCCTATCTGTGGATCTGGGAACGGGTACGATCTGATCCGCAACAAGAGAGATAAGTAAAAAATGAATGGAGATGAAGCACGGACGAACGGGGACCCATCGGAGACTTGAGGAAGCACGATCAAAGGCTAAAAAAGGGAAGAAGATGATTGGTGTAGTATTTCTCCAGAGACTTGGGTCAGAAGAAAATCGGAAGGCGAGGGTGAGCAGAGGAAGAAAGAAAAGACTCATTGCTACGAGTGAAGAGTCGAGACCTCGGCGAAGCTCCGGCCATATGATGGATCGCGGCAATCGGTGAGTGTGACCTGTCTCCAGTCAAGTGGACTCATGGAGGGGTTTTGCCTTCTTTTCCGTGTTATTGTCAGCTTGAGACTCTCAAGTGCTCTCGTGAGAACTGAGCATCCCACGCCGGCGATGCAGACAATGCCGAATGGGGCAATCGAGCAAAAGCAAAGGTGATCCGCTCCGTGGGAGACAAGCCACTTCAAAAACACATGTTGCTTTTCACTCCGTGGGATCATGTTCAATTTGCCACACCTCATCACTTGAACATATGATGTCCCCTTTGTGATTGATGATCAAACGTCTTCCCGAAAAGGTGAGCGATGCTGTCATCGGTGTGCACGGTGACGATGACCGGCGTGTGTACCTGCCAATACTTCCCATCTGCATGTAAGCCGCGACCGAGTATTCGGGGCGCCAGGCTTGGGCCGATCCAGACGCATCGCTAGCAGGGCGAGGAGGTGTCACAAGTCAACCGTCGTCGGGAGTCGTCGTCGCGACGTCGCCAACCCATGCTTCTTTGGCGAGTCAGGTTTCCGGCCTCCCAGGACGTCGATTTGGGGGTCCATGGCCGGCTCTGACAGCAAGAGGACGCTTAGAAGCGGCCAGGCGAGGGACTTTGCAGACTTGGTACTGGTAGGGTAACATTTGGAGGCGGTTGCTGAAGGGATCGGATCCCAGGTTGCAGCTCTGGGGTGGGGGGTTGCGAGTTTGGTCTGGATGCAGCGGCCGGGTTGCGGGAGGAGAATAGGAAGAGTGAAATGGGGGTAAATTGTGGAATTACTGGCCGAGAGCGGGGTTTTCCTTGCGCCGTCACAAGTTGACCGAGAGTTGCGCCGTCTAATTGGAGCCGTGGGCGCTGGCCGGCAGGTTGTATTCTTCCCAAGCACCATTTCATCCCAGACACTTGTCTTCCTCTCTGATCCGGCTTGTCGATAATGGGAAACCCGGACGTCGTAACTGCCACGGCATCTTGCAGTAGCAGAAGGCAGCTTATAGTTTAGCAAGGGGTCGGCGACGCAGTACCAACAGGTATTGGACTAGGTAGTAGTGAAATCCCACTGGAGGGAACCCATGTTCTTTGTTTAACCCCGATGACTTATGCATGGAGCGCCGATGTCGAAGCAAATCAGAGAGGCCAATTGAACCAGTTGCACGACCAGAAGGGAAAGGGTTCGGACAAGGTTCAGGAACCGTTGCGATCGGCGGGGGTCTGGTCCTTGTTGGACCTGGGGGAGAAAGGGAACGAAGAATTGCTTTTTTTCTTCTCCTTGCGGGCCGCCACAGGCACGCACCGTGGGCTGAATGTCTGGGTCTGACGCAATGGCGTTGGAGATGAGGTGGGGTGATGAAGCTGAGATTTGCTGTTGTGAAGCTGAAAGAGCGTCGGTATTTGCACGAATAGGTAGGCACAAGGTACGAATGAGCATGCGTCGGATTGAGGGGTTCAGCTGGGAGAATCAGTTTCGTAAGTGCCGTGGGTGCCGGTGTTTGCAGACGTGTCATGGTCAAAGACCATGGTCAAGAACCTGTTCCGTGACATTGTGTGTATTCCCGATTGAGCATACGGATACTCAAAAGCGCGGTTGTCGTGGAACCCCCGCGGGGGTTAACAATCGTGACGGCCCTTCTTTTCGTGTCTTTGAATCAGCAAGTCGATGGGCATGCCGAGGCCAGCCGCTGTTATGCTGGACCAGACTATTGGGCACGCACTCGTGTGCGTGTGTTGATACTATGTACAGTATCCGTGGGAGAGACGCCCGTCAGCGTTGCTTCCCGTGTGGTGGTGAGAGTTGATATGTGAGAGGTGACGGGCGAGGTAGCAGCAGACCCAAGTTGAGGTGAGGTGAGGTGAAGTGAGGTGAGGGGAGGTGAGGGGAGGTGAGGTAAAAAGGCACGGAGAAGTGGCCGATGCATCATCCATCCATGATCATCCACCCCTTGCCTGGCAACCTGGACGACAAGGCATGGAAGATGAGGCATGTCGTCGTCTTACATCATTTACATGATGGCTCGTTTTGGGGGGGAAAGAGGAGGCAAAGAAGGTGGTGAGAGCCAAAAAGGGAAATGGGAAACAAACGTGACTGCCTCACGAGTTACATGAGATGTAAGCGACTTCCCCAGTCGTTCCGAAGAAAGCAGGCATCTCGGCTACTACTTTGTACACGAACTGCCATTGACCAAGGTTCAAGTAATACCAGAGAGCTGCCCAGAGTTTCCAGACCCCCCACGCTCCCGATTCAACTAGTCTCATGCACGTCGCCCGAAACGGCATTCTGAACCTTTTTCTCTGCATTCTTGCTTCCCAGCCCAGCCGGCTCCTCTTCATGTACTGCATTGCTGTCGTTCGTGCTTTGGGGGCCATGGGCAGCCTTCGGTACAAGATGGTAGGTAGCAGCCAAAACAAGTAAAAGTGAGAGGGGGAAAGAAAAGCCCAATAGTCGTCGTCGTCTTAGCCGCTCATTTGCCCGTCTGCCCCATGCCAACCCTGAACGACTCACGACATGGACATGGAGCTCACGGTCCAGGTGTCGCGATGGGATGGCGAGATGCAAAGCCAGCATGGCGCGGCAAAGCACGGTTGACACAATTTTACACTTTGGTTGGGGACTATTTCAGTGCCGACCAAGGCGCAATATCTCGTCTGGATGTCAAAACTAAAGTTGAACAAGAGCAAGACAAAAAAAAAAAAAAAACCGGGAACGCGAGGGTTAGGTTTCTGATAGTGGAGAGAAGATTGGCAGCGGCTCAACTGACGACGTATACGGGGACTCCCATGTTTAGAATGGAGAAAGGGTAACCCCCCTCCCTCTCTTCTTCCCGAGTCCCATCAGCCGTCTTTTCGGTCTACGGAGTACCTGACTCGAGAACGCCCGTCCAACGCCCGCCGAACCGCGCTTTTTCTTCACTTCCTCACGACCGAGGTTGGAAATCGCGAGAAAGCGCCGGCGATGAAAAAAGCATCTCGCTCTAAAGGTAGACGCAACACCCCGCAATCAGATAAGAAAAGGGCAGTGTGAGACGACATCTGACTAGAACGAGATGGCCGTGAAACCACCAGCTAAAAGGCATAATATCGAAGAGAAAAAGAAAACCCCCCACCCTTTTGATCCATTTTCTTCTTCGCAAGTTATAACTCGCTTCACCAGTTTCGGTCTTGTTCGCCGTGGATGCCGCGTTGGCGGCGTAGAGAAGCAGCCATACCAAGTACATACGTAGTAGACGCCCACTTCCCAAAGATGCAATCATGGGTCCAACACCTTGTACTTCCTCTCTAACCCCTGCTCAACCCCGCCATGTCATGCTGCCCATCTCCGCCCACACCCTTTCCCCCTGTGCAGAACCACCAACCGAACAATGGCTCTCTCTCTCTCTCTCTAAAGTACTTATGAGGTCGGTGATGAGTAGCCGCGTGGGTTTTGGGTTCAAGACAATTGCGTGTGAAGTCACCCCCGTCCTCGTCATAGTTCGAGACAACACCTACATTCCAAGACGTGCCATTGTCCGCATATAGCCCTCACGAGCTAAGCTTCTCACGAGTTACCCCACGTAGAGCACGTAATGTGGTATAACGCGCGATTGATTCCTTTGTGAAGTACGGATATACGGATACAGCCCCCAATGGAAAGTCAATGTCGTCAGATCAAGACTCGGCCTTGCCGGTGTATTGACCGAAGCGTGAACCTGGATGAGAACTGACAGTGTAAGTGGGATATATCGTTGAGCCTGCACCTAGACGAAAACGACACGACTTTGGACGGAATTTCCCACTCGACAATCTCCACAGAGAGGGGGGGGGGGGGGGGGTTCATCAATCCCTCGACGCATTCGCGGGAACGCGGTCGATCCCCAAACCCAGAGTGAACCGGTGATAGCCAGAACAGGTATCCGTCATGTTTCGTCAAACCAACAAGTGATGAGAAAATTCAATCACGAAATCCCATCGACTCCATCCGCCATCTCGGCGCAAAACCACCGAATCGTCGTCACCCCCTTGCCCACCGGCCGGTTACCCCCCCCCAAGACTCCAAGAGTCAAGGCTCATGGGCTCAAGAAAGCACAGGGCAGGCTTTCAACGCTACTGTGACATTACGGACCTCACCTTATCTGCAACCCCCCTCCCTCCAAGGCTCCAATGGCCCGGAATATCGCGGCAAAAAAAATGAACAACAGGCAAAGTCGCAAACCCACGTTTTCCCACGCTCAGTAGCGCGCCCATCTGGCTCCGTCTCGTCTCGCCTCGTCTCGTCTCAGCCCTTCTTCCTACTGCACAAGGTACCTTTCCCTCCTAGTTATCTCACTGTGTAAAGTAAGTATCGTATGTACTCATCCTCTCTGGCTGGTCCCCGGCATGTAGACGCACGGATCGTGCTCTAGTGCGCCTTTGGGACCGGCCGCCGCCGCCGCAGAAAGTACGCCTGCTGCTTCTGCTTCTGCTGCTGCACCACGCCGCACTCCTACGTACAACGCCGTGTACTTTCTCCTCCTCCTCCTCCTCCTCCTCCGTCTCTTGAACACCCACTCCTCCACCCCCCTCCCCTCCCCTCATCTGGGCTGCTCTCACTTGTTAAATGTATCATGTATCATGTAGCCAGCCTGGAGGTGAGAAATAGGTAAGCCCAGCTACTTGCCTTCCGTGCCTTAAGGCACCTTACCTTGCCCACCTTAGCTCGTCTTCAGGGTCCTCCCATACGAACCTAATTCCTCTTTTCCCCTTCCAACGCCTTCCTCTCGTGCACTTCTTTTTAACCTTTCTCCATCCCCCTTCCCTTTTTCCTTCCATTTTTTTTTTTTTTTTCCCTTTTGGAGATTCTCTCTCCCTTTGTCCATTTTCCCGGGCTTACTACATCTTCTCCTCTACCTTGGTAAAGCTTCCCATCCTCTTCCAGTCTAAACCCACCAAGGCATCTACTTCCCCGCAAAAAGCATCCGTAAATCAGACGCAAGGGAAAATACAACATCAGACAGCAGCAACGAAAGAGACATAACAAGAGACGACGACTCCCCTGTCAGCCCATGACTACCTAAAGCTTAAATTTTTTCCAACGACTCTTGGACTTTTCAAGAGGGCAAGAAGAAAAAAAGAAAAAAAAAGAGCAGAATATATACATCGGACCCGCCCGGTTGTGACCAAGGAAACTTCCAACGACACCCGAACCCCCGAGTAGCCTATACTCCGTATGAAAAGATTAAACCGAAGCCGGCTGCAGAAATACCTTTAGTTGCCCCCCGTCCCCCCTCCGATATCAATCCCGGTGCGCGCGCAAACTTTCAACAAACCATCCGTGCACCGGCGCATCGAGACTACTTCTTCTTCTTCTTTCTCTCTTTTCCTTTTCTCTTTTAGAGAACTCCGACGCCGGGAAAGCAATTCTTCTGGCTCTTCAACTGCCATCCGAAGTTTGCGCGTCACAATGAACGCCCAGGTCTCGTTTCTCGTAAGTTTCTCCCACATCTTGTGTCATCTCCATCCCCTTCATCTTCCTACTGCGCACACGACACACATCACCGCAGCGTGGGAACGATTCTCGATAGAGTCACCAAAATGCGGGGCTCCATTTGCCCGTCCCACTGCAACGCTGTGTGTCCGTCGCCGTCGCCGCCCGCCCCGAGTTGCACATTCCACTCGGAGCTAAAAGAATGATACACACACAAATATCTTGGTCCTTGCAGACCTCTGTCATGCTCTTCAACTAACACCGCATTTGCGCTCTCCGCAGGATGGCCACTACACCCTCATCCACATCCCCCTCGACCTGTACTCGGTACTCTTGCAGCCCATCCTCCGCGTCCTTCTCCCGCAGACCCAGACCCTCAAGGCGTCAAAAGGCGAACCAGAACATGAATTAGAAGGACTCAACGCCGAGAGCCAACATGGCTTCCTCAACATTAGCGTCACCCCCATGGAGTGCTCCATCGTCTGTCACAGCTCCTGGGCCAAGAACGTCTTTGAGCCGGCCATCCAGGATCTCCCAAAAGACCTTGCCAAATCCGTCTCAATATCCAAAGACACCTACCTCGTGCTCTCCGTCATCAGCGCCGGCATGGACGCCGCAGGCCGTGTCATGGAACTGACCTCGCCCCTGGCCCTCGCCGGCATCCCCATCTTCTTCATCACCACCTACTACTCCGACTTCATCCTCGTCCCGAGCAAGGACAGGCAAACCGTCGTCAAGGCCCTCCTCGCCCGCGGTTTCGAACTTGCCGACAACGACTCCAACTTTGTCAGCCCCGCCGCTTCGATACACTCCCGCGGCCCGAGCCAGAACAACGGCGCCGCCGCGCCCCCGCTGACCCCGCCGCCCTCCACCATCGCCGAGCTGCAGGTCCGCACCTTTGACTTGCTCAAGAAGCGCAGCGTCGCACCCTACGTTGAGGACAACCTGCTCCTGGTGCAGTGCTCCGGCCGCGAGACCTCGCAGCTCGGCGGCGAGCTCTCCCACACCCAGCGTCCCTCGCTGAGCCGTCAGGTGACGGGCAACAGCCACCGCCAGACCTGGCTGGACAACATTGACGCGAAGCTCTACACCGCCATGATCTCGGCCCTGGCAGCGCGCCCGCGCTTCCTCTCCATCACTCTGGCCCAGGAGGACCCGCCATCCCTGCTGCTGGATAAGTCGCTGCTCGGCCTCTTTGGCGATTCCCTCGTCGGGGACACCAAGACGAACCTGACCCCGATCTTCTTGGACCTGGAAAGCCTACCGCTCGAGGCTACCGGTATCGTCTGTGGCGTGGCCGGCACCCTGGTGCAGGATATGCGCACGGGAGACAGCGCGGGGCTCTCGTACCTCTCCACCGCCCGAGCCGGTGCCGTCATTCTCGATTGCGAGCAGTCCATACTCGCGCTCGAGATCCTCAAGCCCAAGCTCTTCAAGGCCTGATCGCATCGACCGTATGTTACAGGAGGGACTGCATTGCTGGGATATCTGTCAGAAGGGAAAGCCTGATCTGAAAAGATGGATCAAGAGGAAGGAACATTATGAGTTTCTTTTCCTCACACATTTCGAATTTTAACGAAGTTGCATGAAGGGACGATTGTACTAGCATGGAACTGGTTTAGGGGGTTGGCAATCTGTCATTTTTGAACATTTTCGCGCCCGGGTTTCTGGCATATTGGCGTTTACGGAGGGTGGCTCTCTGTCGTTCGATACCAATTTTGTATGTCTTGCAAGAGGATAGGGGGCCCAATATCGGCCCCAGAACTCACACTCGAAGCGATTTGATCTCCTCTTCAATGCCCCCTCTTCGATGACATTCTATGATCGCCTGCCCTCCTTGATGCGACAGCTCTTGGTAAACTCTCCAGTGATATTTTTCCAGAATTAATCTGTGTACAACTTGACTGACATCGTAATAACCCCCCCCCCCTACAGTCCACGCTGGGTTCCAAGTACCCTCTCAGACACCAGACTTGAAGCCCAACAATCCATCGTAAAGGCCTACTACCTCAAAGCAGTCCGCTCTCTCTCACTTCCCATGCCCCTTCCTCTTCCCCGACCCCGCCTCCTCCGCCCACCCAGCCTTGACAAACGCATCCCTCGCCGTGCTATTAATCAGCGCGAACCGCCGCGGCCCCAGCTTCTGCCCGCCATACCACCTCGTCACGACAACCATGACGTCCCACAGATCCATGAGCTGCATCAGGTGCAACAACCGGCCGCCGGCCGCCGTCTCGCCGTCGTCGTCGCAGTCCTGGAAGCTCGTGCCGTTGGCGCCGCGGATCCGCCACGCCGTCATGTTGTGGCTTGCGCCGCGCACTTTCTTGTCCGTCGCGAGGAGGTGCTGGACGTAGGACGCGGCTTGCTCGGGGGAGGTGACGGGCGCGGCGCGCGCGAGGAAGACGGATTTGAGTTCCGTGAAGGGGGAGGAGAGGGTCCAGGGGGGCGGCTCTAGCGTGTGGCAAGGCGGAGAGTCAGCTTCAGCGTCCTGTTGGTTGTGGTTGTGGTTGTGCTCTTCTAGCTGCCGCGAGGAGGACGACGGTGGAGGAGGAGGAGGAGGAGGAGGAGAATGTGAGGTGGGTAATCCTGACGGCTCAGCTTCTGAAACTTCCTCCAGTCGTCGCGAGAACTCTTCCACGGCGTCAAAGAGACAGACAGCGCCCGGCTGGTAGACGGCGGCGACGGCCTCGCGGAAGAGAGACAGGTCGCGGGCGCCCGTGCCGCGGGGCGCGTTCTCGCCGGCGCTGTGGGTGCCGAGGATCTCTGGCGGTACGTCCGGGTACGTATCGGCGAAGCGGAGGGTGAGGGAGGAGGCACCCGGGCCGCCGGGAAGCGTGAGAACATAGTTATCTGGTGGTGTATGGCGTAGGGTGTCGTCTCCGTAGATTGAGTTTAGGGCTTCTATCTCGTCTTTGAGATCGTCTGACATTGTTGTTTGGGTGGGGGTTTTCTTTCGAGAGTATGAGGTGCGGCGTACCTCTTAATGGGGTTTAATGTGAGACTGGTGATATGAGGTTGCTGGATGATGAGGTTTGTGAGTGGTGGTCTTTGATGTGATTATTACTCTCGGGAGACGTACGCCGTCTTATTTCGATTTCCTCGTTATTCGAAAATATCTCATTTGAAAGACATTCAACTCTATGAGCAAAGTACACATGTGGTCGTAAATATCGTGGTTGGAGATGAAATTGAGAGAAAGTTACATCGAAGTCGTCCAGTTCCCCCCAATCATCTCATGATGTGGGCCATTCAACGTTGATGAGGTGGTCCGAGCTCCACACATACTCCACTCACGTCAACCTCCCGTCTCAACTGGATGAACCTCACAGAGTAACAGCTGCAGCTGATTGACGTTTTCTCGTGGCAAGCGCTGACCACCTACATGAATGTAGAGCGGCCGGCGCAAGCGGGATTTGATACCGATTCCAGCCCATCACAAGCAATAATGATTTCAGCTCTGCAAGCTAGCTGTCTACCTACCTACCTTAGGCAAGATGGCGCCTCCACTCGTACCAACATTTGACTCGCACCTTACATGAGTATGCGACAATTTGAAGAGCTGAACAACAAGATACAGCTTCTCCTACCCTGTCAATGACCAAGCGTAATCTGAGAGCTACCTCGTGTTCCGGATCAGAACTCGGAGTTGGGCTACAAGTTGCAGGAGACCGTGATATTTGAACCCACGCAGCCAGCGATATGTCAGCCATAGGTACACCTGAGAGGCACGTAGAATGACACCCTCCCCCGGACAACTTATGCCCGACGTGCAGCCAACGCGACCTCTCAGCCGAGAAATTCCTACCTGGCCAGCCCAAGGACAGTTCCCTCCCATCCCATCGACCCCGTCGGCCTGCAGCCGTGTGAGCCGGGCCACCTCGACGAGATATACCGGAGAAGAGACGAATGGCCCCTTTGCTGGCTTCTCTTCAACGCAACGCACTCGGCGGCCGGGTCCGCTGCTCGGGCGAGTGGCAGCTGAACGGCCGTCTCTTGGAGACTCCGGCAGGGCTGAGGAATAGTACACATGCGCCGCCGACTCGCGGCTTAAAGATCTTTAGCCCGGACGAAGTCTCCACGGAGGCTTACATCATGCTGCTGCCCTCAGAAACCCATACAACGTGGGACAAAGACCTTCCTGGCTCGGCGAATGTCTCCTCACCTGGCCGACGTGAGCCTTCTACGGCGCTGGCTCGACATCTGTGGGACGCACCACGGCAGCGGCTGCCAGCCCTCGCCTCCAGGATGAGTTCTCCTCGCTGCTCGGGGTCCTCAAGTTCATCGACTTGAACGAGGAGAAACTCGTCGTCAGCGCCTGTGGTGACGGTTAGGTTACCGAGTACGCGACTCTGAGCTACGTATGGGGCGGGACCCAACCCCTCGTCTTGAAGAAGGAGAATGTGCTCGAGTACTCTCAAAGGGGATCCCTCGGCCCCAACACGCCAGGTCTGCCAAAGATCGTCCGCGATGCCATGATGCTCGTCAAGGCGTTGGGTATCAAGTACATCTGGGTAGACGCTCTGTGCATTCTTCAAGACGACATGGAGGAAAAGCTGTGCGTGGTGCCAAAGATGGACCACGTGTGTGGACATCAGAGTATAGATCGAAGAAAGGTCACCATCTCAAGGCAAAACATGCGGCAAGTTATAACTATTCACATTCCGTGACAATCTCAATTTGGTAACAGTAATGTTCCTTTGCGCCATGCGAGGTTTCTTAGGTCTGTTTGGGTATTCCGCCGTCGGGAATTTCTGCATGAGTGATGTAGTACGGGTAGAGGGCTTGGGATCATTGACTGCGCCCGTCCTTTTTGCCTACGGATGTGCCTGACTTGTTTTGTGTCGTCTCCTGGATTCGTCAGAGCCGGAGATATATGCCACAGATGCAGACGGAGTGAGCGTGAGAAGGCCTATTCAGCCCCCTCCTATGGCTTATCGTGACCACCCAGCTGACTGAAGTGAGCTCGTACATGACACAAACGGTCGAATGATTGGCAGCGAGGTCCAATATGTGTCCCTTCACCGCAGTAACCAACCCAATGGGTACGGCATAAGCCTTTTGTCGTATAATGATCTCTTGGCGGCGTCGGCCGTGTGCCGAAGTCCAACAGATGTATCTTCGCAGGCCGCTGAACAGCGCACTCGGCGTCGGTGCGTTGCTGACGTGGTAGTCAAGACCTGGGGCCGAAGAAGACACTTGTATGTTGTTCCTCTTTTCCCACGTGCATACCGAGCTCCTGCTGAGACTGTGGCACACGGCCCTTGGTGGATGACGGCGCCACATGCGAATGCGCGCCGTATAAGTCCCTCGAGTCTGACCGGCCGCTTTCCGATGGTCTCAATGTGCGTCTCTTGCTCAGAGTGATTCGCGCGGTGAACTATACGTCTCGGTGAGAATCGGTCGCGACCAATATCCAACCAAACCCGGTGCGCGGCGGGCCGAATTCCAGATAGAGAAAACGGGCAACATCCTCTTGGTTTCCCATGACTTATTTCTTGATACCTACAACCACCAAATTCCTCGGGCTCTCAGCATAATCAAACACCGTCTCGACCCAGCAGTCCCGGACGAGGTCGTCGTGTTCCTTCAAAAACAGCCAACGGTCCGTGACGATGAGCGACTCGACGACAGTGGCGCTAAAGGCCATGAGGCTCCACACGGCCGCGACCTCCTTCTTGCGGGAGGCGTATTCCCTCTCGTACACTTCGATTTCCTCGTCCGTCATGTTGGCCATCTTGTCGCGGATCACGTCGCTGTACTGGCTATACTCACGGTTCGTCGTCAGCTTGGCGACGGCGCCGTGGACGTAGTCTTTGAGAGATTTGTAGCATGCTTTTCGGAGAGAGCCGATAATGACGGGGTTCGTGGAGGTGTTGAAGGGGGATTCCCTTTCCTCTTCCGTCTGGGACGGGTCTGATGACACCTTGCCCTCCGTGCCGGCTTCAGCGGCAGCAGCGGCATCGCGGTGGTAGACCTTTGAAATGACGCCGCGGTCGAGGAAAATCTTTTGCAGCACCGCGCGAAACAGGTGCCGCGTGAAAAAGTCGTCGCTCTCAGGCTGCGTCCAGTTCTGCGGCGCCTGACACGCCATCATCCTCGCCGTGATATTCATCCGCACGCCCTGGCCCTTGTATCCAGACAGCGTCTCGCTCAATGGGAAGCCCTCCGGATCCCGCCGCGCCGATTCTCGCACGACGCGGCCGTTGAGCGCCTGCAGACTAGGGCGGGCGTACCCGGCCAGCTTATAGGTCGGCGGGCCGAGCTTTTCGGTCAGCAGGTTGTAGCAGCAGCCGACGATGGCGACGGAGTGAATTGCTGGGTTCATGACGAGGGAGCGGATGCCGTAGTGGGAGAGGTTTCCGCACGAGTGGATTGAGACGGCCATCATTTTGAGGTCCTGGGTGGATTCCTCCGGGAGAACTTCCTTTTCGATGCGCCCGATGACTTCGGTGAGGTCGCCGCTCTCGAGCCTGCCAACGACGTACGAGACTGATCCTTTGCCGAGCGCGCGGTTGTACCGCGGTTCGAGTTCCTTTATGGGTCTGAAATCAAAGTCCTCAGCCGCTGCTGCTGCATCTGTTGATGATGCTTTCACGGGCCCAGACGTTCTCTTCACAACGTCGGTGCCGAGCCTATCAGCCTGCATCTGCAGCCACAGCTTCTTGTTGCGCATGACGACCTCCTTGCTCGCCAGACCCGAGAGCACATCGAGCCCCTTTGCGCCGTCAATGTTGTGCTCGCGACCCTCGACGGCGACGACATGGCGATTGTAAGGAGGCAGCGCGAGGGTGCGGCCGAGGTAGTTTTGCCCGCTGCCAAAGTCGACAAAGTGCGTCGTCTCTTTGCCCCAGCGGGAGGAGATGGAACCGGCGAGTGCGTCGACGTAGCGCGCGAAGTGGGCTACTTCGTGGACCTTTTTGGGTTTCATGCCGACGGCGACGGAGCGGGAGAGTTTTGGTGGGGGTTTACTCTCAGATGTGGTGGGCGAGAAGGTCCGGCGGAGGGAGAGCTTGCGGATACTGCGGATGTAGCTCAGGAAACTATCTGGCGGGGGAACTGGCATGGCGTCCAGCGGCAGGTTGTCCAGGTCGTCTCGCATGAGGAGGTCCAGGAGGGCGTCGGTGCCGTAGGAAAGGAGAAAGGGCTGCCATTCCGCCGGTAGGATCTGGGAGAAGAGGCCCCGCTCGTTTGTGAAGAAGTCGAGGACGTGGACGCCGCCGCAGAGAATCTGGAAGATGTCCGTGGTTGTGGCAAAGTCGAGGAGTTCTTGGACGTAGGCTTCTGGCGAGGAGAACTCGTCTGAGCAGGGGAGTGGCTTTTCTGGTATCATCTTTTACAATTTTCTGTGTTTCGGACGCCTTTGAAAGTGTGTATTCTGTGTGCGCCGGTGACTTTTCCCTCTGTAGGCTGGTTTACAGGTGTATGATTTGACCGTAGTTTTAATGAGCGTGAGTCAGATTCAGTGAGTGGCTGAGTGAGGGATGATGAGAGCTCTGTATGAGAGTGAGAGAGTGGTTATGTGGAGTTGCAGGTGATGGTTGTGAAAATCCCACTTACATAAAATTGGCCTATGGAGGGGGAATTTTTCTCGGTGAACGAGGGGCATACCGAGGGGTCGAGCAAGGGTCTTCGGTGACGTCTGATGTCTCGGTGAAGAATGCTCGAACGTGCCGAAGAATCTCCGGACGTACCTTACACCTCCCCCGAAGCACCGACCACCAGTGACCTTCCAAAGAGTGGACACCTATGGAAGACGGGGGCGGGAGGTAGCCGTGTCCGTAAAGGTAGCTCGCACCCACTGGTCCCGACCCGGCCGGCCGCCAGACGCGCAAACGTCATCCCAGGCCGCGTTTCCCTAATAAGGTACCTGAGATTAACTACAGATCGTCCAATTCCGCACTTGACAACAGGCAACTTAAACACCAACCTGCAACACTTGGCTACAGCCTACCCCCTTCAAAGAAAAAGAACCCAATCAATCCACAAATGCGCCTATCCACCCCATCACCAGGATGATGTCCTCCGCCAACGAAGAGGATCCCTTCCTCCAAGTCCAACAGTACGGAAATCGCATCTCTCAAGCCTCCCTCGCCATCATACTCTTTGAAGCGCAAAGTAGGGACTCCGAGCTAACCACAAAACAACAGAGACGTCCTCGCCCAACTAGACTCAACCAGACCCCTATTCACATCCTACCTCCGCATCCGCTCCCTCTCCACCTCCCCAACCTCCCCTGAGCTCGCCTCCGCCCGCGCCGACCTCGAATCCGCCCTCGCCTCCCTAGCCGAAGACCTCGCCGACCTCGTCGAGTCCGTCAAGGCCGTCGAATCCGATCCCGCCTCCTTTGGCCTCTCCACCCCGGAAATCACGCGGCGCAAGAGGCTGGTCCAAGATGTCGGCGGCGAAGTGGAAGATATGCGCGAGGAGCTCGCCAAAAAGCTAGGCGATGTATCCTCGGGCAAGGGGAAATCATCAGCAAACGGAGCAACGAATTCAGACCTTCCCGACCCAAGCTCCTTCGCTATAGGCGACGGCGACGCGCGAGACGGCGACTACGCCGCCGAGTTCGAGCAGCAGCAGCAGCTCGAGATGATGCGCGAGCAGGACGGCCACCTGGACGGCGTGTTCCGGACGGTGGGTAATCTGCGGCGGCAGGCGGACGACATGGGCCGCGAGCTCGAGGAGCAGAGGGAGATGCTCGAGGTCGTGGACGGGGTGGCGGATCGCGTCGGGGGCCGGCTGCAGACGGGGGTAGCAAAGTTGCAGTATGTTATGCGGCATAACGAGGACCGGTTGAGCAGTTGCTGTATTGCGGTGCTTATTTTTGTTTTGATCTTGTTGCTTGTTCTGTTGTTGATTTTGTGAGAGAGTCCTGTCGCCCGTTCGCCAGCGATGAGATATGAGCTTCGAGGGTGGGCGAGAACGCATTCGGGACTGACTAGAAGATGAAAAGAGGGAAGAATGACGGCGAGGATTATCAGTATTGTTTGAATGGGTTATGGGAGTTCATGGAGCGTGTGGGGATTTTTTTTTATCATCGCTAAACGTTTTTGTTTTGCTACTTGGGAAGCCTTCATATGGGAGCCATGATAGATCTCATTCATCCAACTAACGATACGCAATGTCTAGAGTATCTCGTTTGTAGGGATGAATTTCCTCTCTCCCGTCAGGCCTCCTCATCTTGCTCAATGTATGAACTGAACTGAAGCCCCGATATTGTGCCCATCGCAAGCCATTTTGAAACCTTACCTCTTGGTCGTTTTGGTGTGTATAAATACCCCCATGCCAGGATGTCCAGAAACGCCAGAGTATGTGTACCTCTTGAAAACCCCCCCTGCCCTGAAATCGGCAGCCCATGCCTCTCATGTATGTGTACAAAAGGTAACCCGTCTACCTCGGCTTTACATCCTCTCCATCCCTCCCCCATGTCTATGCCACGTCTAATCCAGAGTCTTGTCTCAGAACGTCGCCCAGGACCTGCAACGCCTGCGCGGCTGTGGCCCCCGGAGGGGCCCTCTTAGGAAACTCCACCAACGCCATCCGTAGGGCCGCGACGGCGGCGTTGCCGTAAAAGTTGATAAAGCGCTGCTCGTGGCCGTCAATCATGGACTTGAGCACGACGTACTGCGTGTTGGAGACGAGCTGCGGCGGCGAGTTAACAATCTGCGCCATGGCCTTCCAGTAGTTTGTCGGCGGGTACGGGTTCGTCTTGGACGCCTTGCTGAAATCCCGGAGGGCAATGGCCGCGAAGCCGGCACCGAGGCCCGTCATCCTGTCATTGTGCGCCTGCTCGGGCACCCAATTGCCGTTCTCCCTCTTCCAGCCAATGGCCCTGCGTCCGCCCTCCGTCTTGTCGCTGCCTCTAGAGCCGAAGAGGACGGGGCAGGCCACACGGAACTTGGCGATGAGGATATCGATCATGGAGCCGCCGCGCCAGTGGTAGTCCTTGTTGGAGAAGATTTGCGCCGTGACGATGCCCACCGGCTCGGCCGACTTTGGGTTCGCGCCGCCTTCGTTGGAGAATTGCTGGATGATTGCCTTTGAGAGGATGTTGAGGAGGTATATGAACAGGGCCGGCAGCTGCGGGCCATTGTGTACGGCACCGTCGGCTGGCTCCCTGTTTTGCTGCACGTATATGCTTGCGTCAATTAGAGGTGACTGGACTTGACCGCCGAGAGACTCGCGTAGTGCAGCATTGATCGTGGCAAGCTGAGACATTGTTAGCATATGCATTGTGCCGTTCACAAGAACAGACTTACAGGTTGCGCGTTTGCTCCCTTCCCAGCAGTCAGTTGCCCAATTGACTTTCTGATTTGTCTCCGCATATCACCCAGCTTGCCCTTCAACGGATTCGCAGGTTGTTTCGACAGGGCCTCGACATCCTTTCGCAGCTTCTTGAGAGCTTGGTGTATCTCGGTGTATCTGTCAGTGCGACGTTGAGCTGGTGCCGGTGCAGACGCGGCTGGCTGAACGACGGGTTTCGGGGCCGCAGGTGCTGCGGGCTTCGCGAGGAACCCATTGGCTTGGGTTATCGGCGCGGCGCCGACCTGTGCAGGTGCTTGTGAAGGTGCTGTGGGGGCTGCCTTCGCGGCTGGGAGAGCTGATGCTGGAGCACTTGCTAAGGGAGCTGGCTTTGTTACGGCTGGCGGTGCAGTCACGGGCTCGGATTTGGCCGCCGTTGTGCCATTGACCTGAGGTTGTTGAGACTGCTTCGGCTCCGGCTTGGGCGGTTCAGGTACGGGTTCGGGGGGGAGTTGGGGAATCTGCTTGGCCTTGAGCTCTCTCAGCCTCTCCTGCTCGGCGCGCACTGCTGCTTCGGCCTTTAGCCGATCTTCTTCCTCTTTTTGTAGCTGTGCTATCCTCCGCTGCTCAGCCTCGAGCCTCTGCTTCTCCTCCTGCAATTGGTGGACCTCATAGACCCTCAGAGCAGCGAGGCGAACACGCTCATGCTCGAGCTGGGCGGCGGCGAGAGCGTCGCGATGGCTCAGCTCCGAGTTTCGATTCTCGGAGAGGAAGTCTGCGGCGTAGCCTCGCTCGGGGCTCGACTTGATGTTGCCATTGTGCTGGCTTCTCCGCGAAGGAGATGAGTGTGCCATGTTTGGTGGCACAATTGGCTGCCAACGGCCTTCGATGGTGTGGTCGTAGGTGGGAGTTGAGACCGGGCCCTACGGCATCGGGCGGTGGGGTCAGGCGCGGGGATGCAAAATTGCACCGACAACCGAGAGAAACAAAATCAACAAAACCAAGAACCAAACACACCAATAAACGGCCGATCGAAAAGAGTGACGTCCGCGGGTGGGCGGTTGGATGGGGAAGGTAAGGCAAGGCTCGGGCGATCTTTGAGAGTCCAGACGAGGCTGTGCTTCCTCACCTCTTCGGGGCTGTTTGGGTCAAGTGGTGTCGTCAAGCGGGCAAGGTATTGGTAGAGCGTAGAAACCGTACTGTCGAGTTCAGGTTGGGCGCGGCGTTGGTGTGGAGCAACGAAAAATAATACGATGTATCAGGCGCGCTTTGATGTGGGAAAATGCTACCGTTCGCGGCGGGCCTGGGGCTCTTTGTGGTGATGGGGGGCCCCCCTTGAAGCTTGGAGGGGACCTATGTATTGCTGGGCTATGGGAAAAGGCGACGACCCTTGCTGCACAGTTACCCTGGACCCGTGTTGCTGCTTGCAGCTCTACCCTCTTTGCTCCATGGGTGGAAGAGCAGACGAGCAGACCAAAAGTGACAGGGCATGGAGAGCAGAGCAGCCAAAAAGGCAGCAGCCGGCCAGACCTGAAAAAAGAAGAAGAGACGTCGCCGTGGTCGCAACCCAGGTGGGGTCTTTGAGGAGCTGAATGGACGAATAATGACTCTGGATCCTGACAGAATGCAGTATAGCGTCTCCGCTGGTTGGTCGGACCGCGAGTGGAGCCTTGGCCCGAACGCGGGCAGTCAGATTTACTGCCGGGCGGTCAAGGATAACCTCAGGTTCTCCGTGCCTACGAACTTCCTCAGCCTCTGCCAGTTGTCCAAACAAACAGGTAGTGTATTCAAATATGCTCCGTCCGTGGTATTCGCATAGAGTATTCGTGCAGAGTTATTCGTATGTACGAAGTACAGGGCACACCCGCGTCGTCATATCGTTGAGATTCTGGAACTGGAGTCGGGCCCGGCCCAAATTTCCAACTGAAGAGTTGGCCGAAGTTTGGATCTGGCCCGTCTCGCCTTGACTTTCCCTCTCGGTTTTGCTGGCCTGACAAATGAAAGTCGGCACAACGAACACGACCGGAGACTGGACGGAGCATCTGAGAGCTGAGCATGACGGGGAAGGACATCTTCAACCTACCTTGGTTTGCTTACTCCGTACCGATACCTGCTCAGATAGAGTGTGTGATGCCATTGAGGAGAAATCTTGTCAGGGAGGTACGTAGTGAACTCCACCGCTGCACCGGGGGGGACATGTCAATCACAGCTCCGGATGACTGAAGACTGTGAGGGATGCTGCCATGCTGCTATTGCCCGGAGCTTCCTGGTGTTGGGGACCAGAGCAACGCAACGGTAGGAGAGCTTGCTGCAAGCCTCGCTCAGGTAGGTATCCGTACGGCGTAGGGGTTCTGGGCTGTTGATGTGGTGTCCAACGATGCGGTATCCATCCGGAAACACTGGCGTATTCCTGCTCCCCCCCTTCGACATGAGCCCTGCATTTGGCTTGCCCACCGCGCAGCACCCCCGTAGACGCCAATGTACCTAGCAAGTAGCCGCCGCTCGCTGGCCGCTGACCATCCTATCCTGTTGCCCCGAGGTACCAAGCCAAGGTTCCTGACTTGCTGGCCCTATCTCGTTCGTGCTAGCAGCCATACGGATACATAGCACCATAGGTAGATAGTCATACTGTTGACTGTGTCAGTAGTCAGTGCCAGTGTGCCAGACTAAAAGGCCGCAGGAGACGGAACTTGGCGGACGTCCCAGTTCCAGCCCAGCCCTTGAGAGTGAAGAGTCGAGACCGAGACTCGAAAGTCGAGAGTCACCCCTCGGCTCGCTCCTTGTCCACCTACGTAAGGTGTCTGGGACGACTTGTCTGGTGCGGGAGTCTGGAGAGATGGGCGGCAGGTCAAAGTCAGGGTGGTGCACTACGGCAAGGTACTGATCAACAAAGTATCCGAGCGGCTAACCTGTTACCTGTCCTCGAACCCGGAAGCCCTGACCTGGTTTTGGTTCTGGCTCTGTCTCTGGCCTGGCGTGCAGCGTAGGTGCGGCGTGGACTCTCCCCACCCCCGTCGAGACCTGACTGGAGACGTCTGACTGAGTCTTGTTCCTTGCCAGCCTACGGAGTAAGGTAAGGTACCTTACGGAGTATGTACTCGACCCCAAGTCAGGCTCGTCGGGGGGGCACGGGGGACAGGTACTTCCTTGCTTACCTATCCGCCCCTAAAGTGCTATGTTTGGGGACAAGCCGCCGGTCATGTACCTCGAGCTTGGGGTAAGGTACCTACGGATACCTGGTCTGGATATTGTCGTCACCTCGACTTTTTGGGCATTTCCCAGCTGGGCTGGTTGAGCCAGTTGCGAGACCTTTGAATGGGATTGCGACAAGAGCTTGAGGTGCCAATGATGCATTTCGGATCTAGGTGTGAAGGAAGGGATGTTTTAGCAGAAACATGTAGAGTCCAGCAGGAGTGCGCAAGCTTCTGCAGCAGCATGCACCACCATCATCGTCATCATCGTAATCGCCGTGTCTCCCGTCTGCCTACGTGAGAAACTTGGACTGTGGCCTGCCCGTCTCCCTACAGCGCCGTCCTGTGCTATTGCCTTACTACGCAACTCTGGTGGTTCACTAGCGCACCATGTACCTTTCCTTGCACCAGCGGCTCAGCTTTCCCAGTGCCCGCCCGCCTCCAGCTGGTGAGGTGTGAGCTGACTCTCAATTGTGCTGCTGTGAAGTGTGCTTCGTACTCAATGGTGGGAGGCCATTCGTATGGCATGGAAGGTCTCCGTAGGTAGGTACCTTTCTACCTTACCTTAGCTATGGGACTGGGTCTGGACTGTCTTGAGTCTTCCCACCAGGCGGGCCGGCTCCTGCTGCAACTGCCTGTCCCTCCTCCACCGGGGCGGGTGCTGCTGCTGCTGCTGCTACTGCTGTCCTCGCTCCTACTCCTCCTCACTCGCTCTCTCCCCCCCCTCTCCCCACTCCACACCCCCCCGACCCGACTCGCCTTTCGCAACAAACCCCCCGTCAGTCTCTCCCAGAGAGGACATTCCCATCCTGCCTCGTCTACTTCTTCACTTCTTGTCTGCCTCATCCTTTTTTCCCACCTCAACCATCACTTCGCACACTCCTTGCGAGCTCCTTTCCCTTCCACCTCTCTCCGTCTCGCCAGACATCCAATTCCTCTCCTCCCAATCCACCCCCAATCCATCCCATTTTCAATCCCTCATCGATCGATCAGACAAACAAGAACTACCTTCCTTGAACCAAACGCAACCACGTCCACAATTTCAAAAGACCAAGCAAGAGCCCAAAACCACATCCATCCCAGTTCTCCACTGTCTTTAGTCCGCAAACTACATACGTCAATACCTTACGTGCCACATCATCCCACAAAGCTTCATCGACGCCTACGCCGACTACTCGGTATCCGACACTATCAATCCCAACCCATCCGTCCTTTATACTACCGACGCACTTGACGTGCATTACAATACACACACACACACACAAAAAAGAAGCCAATCTTTTATCTGCGTGACTGCCCATCATGGAGCAGCAGCAGCAACAACAGCAGCAGCAGCCGCCGCAGCAGCCAACCGGCGGCGTCCCAGGCCCAACCGGCCGACGGCTTCACATTGCGCACAGGAGAAGCCCTTCCGAGCTGACTCCGTTGATGAGCATGTTTGCCAACCCGGGTAGTACGTTGAATCATATCTCCTTCCATCCTTTCCCCCATCTTCACACGTGAGCTTGCCGCTCCTACGCGAACGCGATGCCCCCCCCCCCCCCCCCCCGACCCCTCAACCCCTCGTCACTCGTTTCATCATACCAATTTGAACCTCGATGCTGACAATGAGTCTTGCTTTGCAGTGGAACAGCTAGCTATCCAGCAGCAGATTGAGCTTTTGCAGCAACAGCAGCAACAAATCCAAGCTACGCAGCAACAATACATGAACATGGGAATGATGCCCCCCACGCAACAGCTCGGCCCAGGCGGTGCTTTCAATCCCCTGCAGCCCGGCATGGCTCCCCAGGGCGCCTTCCAGTTCCCCCAACAGATTCCGCAGCAGAATGTCTCCATGGGCGGTCCTCCGACTCAGCCAATGTCACATCGCCGTAATCAGTCGGCACTCCCCAACATGGGAATGGGCCCTCCTCCCGCTCCCTCCTCTGGTGCATCCGGCTCGAACTTCAATGATGCCCCCGGCGCCGGTCCTGGTAGGGAAAACGTCGGTGGCCGTGGCGGCCGCGGCGGTGGTGCCGGCGGCGGCGGTCACCAGCGACGTCACTCTTTGGCGCTTGCCGATGCGAAGAAGGCGGCAGAAATCGCACAGCAGAAGCGAACGACATCCGGCTTTTCCTTCCCCATGTCCCCCTCTACCGAGGCCAGCGCCGAGGGTGGTGCCTCTGCCCCGGCCCCTGCTCCGACTCAACCCGAAGCTCCGATTGCTCAGGGTACCAGCGCCGGTCGTGGGCGCGGTGGCCATGGTCGCAGCCAGAGCATGGCTGTGAACGGTCGCGGCGGTGGCGGCACCGGTCGCGGTGGCTTCTCTGGTGATGCTAGCCAGAATGACTTTGGTCGTCGCGGTAGCCAGACTGGCGGCGGTGGTCATGCCAGAACCGGCTCTCGCAACTTTGACGGAAACTGGCGCAACCAGGGCGGTAACCAGGGTCAGGAGCAGGGTGGCTTCCAGCCGGGCCACCGCACTCGTGGTTCCGTGAACCAGTCCATCTCCAACATCGGCGCATTCCAATACCCCGGTCAGCCGCAGCTTATGCAGATGCCCGGCAACATGCTCCCCATGGGCATGTACCCGGGCCAGCAGCTAAACCCCATGCAGATCCAGCAACTGCAGGCGCTCCAAGCTGCCCAGATGGGCGGTCAACAATTCGTTGGCCTTCAGGGCGGCCAGCATGGTGGTCAGCTTGGTGGAAACCAGCAGCAGCAACAGCAGAGAAAGACCCTGTTCACTCCTTACCTCCCCCAGGCCACCCTCCCGGCTCTCCTCGGCGATGGACAGCTCGTGTCTGGTATTCTTCGCGTGAACAAGAAGAACCGCAGCGACGCCTACGTTTCCACTCAGGACGGCTTGCTTGATGCTGATATCTTTATTTGCGGTAGCAAGGATCGCAACCGTGCCCTCGAGGGTGACCTGGTTGCCGTTGAGCTTCTTGATGTCGACGAAGTTTGGTCGCAAAAGCGCGAGAAGGAAGAGAAGAAGAAGCGCAAGGACATCACCGACACCCGTTCTGGATCTACCAACGGACAGAATCAGTCATCCGGTAACAACGATGACAACACGCCGCAGGAGGGCGGCATTCGCCGTCGCGGCAGTCTGCGTCAGCGCCCCACTCAGAAGAAGAACGACGATGTCGAGGTTGAGGGTCAAAGCCTGCTTCTTGTCGAGGAGGAGGAAATCAATGATGAGGCCAAGCCCCTGTACGCAGGTCACATTGTGGCTGTCGTTGAGCGTGTAGCCGGCCAGATGTTCTCAGGTAACCTCGGTCTGCTTCGTCCCAGCAGTCAGGCTACGAAGGAGAAGCAGGAAGCGGAGAGAGCCGCCAGAGATGGAGGCAACAACCGCCACCACGACAACCGTTCGCAGGAGAAGCCCAAGATTGTTTGGTTCAAGCCTACTGACAAGCGCGTGCCGCTCATTGCCATTCCTACTGAGCAGGCGCCGCGCGATTTCGTCGAGAAGCATCAGGACTACGCTGACCGCATTTTTGTTGCCTGCATCAAGCGTTGGCCGATCACCTCTCTGCATCCCTTCGGTACCCTTGTCGAGCAGTTGGGCCGCATGGGCGACCTTAAGGTGGAGACCGACGCCCTGCTGCGCGACAACAACTTTTCCTCCGATGAATTCTCCGAGGCTGTTCTGCGCAGCGTTGGTCTTCAGGACTGGTCCCTTGCTAAGGAAGAGGAGGCTTCCCTGGCTGCTCGCCGGGACTTCCGTGATGAGAAGGTTGTTACGCTCGACCTCAACGGTTCTCCCGAACTTGCCAACGCCATCCACATCAAGACTCAGCCTGATGGCAAAATTGACATCGGTATTCACATTCCTGATGTCACTCACTTCGTCAAGCCCAACTCGCTTGTCGACCGCGAAGCCAAGAAGCGCGGCACCGCCGTTCACTTGGTCAACCGCACTTGCGCACTCCTTCCTCCTAAGATTGGTGGAGAGGTTTGCTCTTTGGCCCCTGGCGAAGAGCGTCTGGCTGTCAGTGTTCTCTTCCGTGTTAACCCCCACAACGGCTCTGTTGCCGAGGGAGACACTTGGATCGGCAAGAGTATCATCAAGAGCACTGCCAAGATCACCATTGAGGAGATCGATGCGGCTCTGAACGGCCAGGCCGACTGGAAGCACGAGTCTCTTCAGCTCAAGGATGTCCAGATCCTTAACGTAAGTTCTACTGAAGCCTGCATTCGAGTTGCACTAACAATGTCTAGGCTGTCGCTCAAAAGTTCACCGAGGCCCGCCTTGGTGCTGGTGGTGAACCTATTGCGCCCCTGAGGCTTCTGCAGCAACTCGATGATGAGAACATTCCCATCAAGCACAACATCTTCGATTCTACCCCTGCTACTGAGCTCGTCGAGGAGCTCATGCACAAGGCCAACACTTATGTTGCCCAGCGCCTCGCTCAAGCTCTGCCTGAGAAGGCCCTTCTGCGCCGTCAAGGTCCCCCCAACGCTCGACGCCTTCAGACCTTCGCCGATCGCATGAATGCCCTTGGCTACGAGGTTGAGACCTCCGGCAGCGGCAGCATGCACAACAGCCTTTTCAAGGTTGACGACGCTGATATCCGCAAGGGAATGGAGACGCTTGTCCTCAAGTCTATGCAACGTGCCAAGTACTTCATTGCCGGCAAGACTGCTAAGCAGTTGTGGCCCCACTACGCCCTCAACTTGCCTCTGTACACTCATTTCACTAGCCCCACACGGCGCTACGCCGACATCATTGTCCACCGACAACTCGAGTCTGTTCTCTCTGAGGGCAAGGTCGAGTACACGGAGGAACTGGAGAGCCTTGTCAAGACCATTGAGTCCTGCAACACGAAGAAGGACTCCGCACAGAATGCTCAGGAACAGAGCATTCACATTGAGTCCTGCCGTGAGATGGACAAGAAGCGCCAGCAGGTCAACGGCGATCTTATCACGGAGGGCATCGTCCTCTGCGTGTATGAGTCAGCTTTTGACGTTCTCATCCCCGAATGGGGCTTTGAGAAGCGGGTGCACTGCGACCAGCTGCCTCTCAAGAAGGCAGAATTCAGAAAGGAGAAGAGAGTTCTCGAGCTCTACTGGGAGAAGGGTGTGCCGAGCTCCGCCTACGTGCCAGAGGATGAGCGTCCCAAGGCTGCTGCGTCTGTAAGAAACGCAAACGTCGCTGCTGCCGCTCGTCAAGCGGAAGCCGCAGAGCGTGCCAAGAAGGAGAGAGAGGAGGCTGCGCGCAAGCAGACGGAGACGGGCACCATCTCTACTGACGACGTCGATGCCCTCTTCGACGACGATGACGACAATGCGTCGGACATTACCGAGGCCATGGCCGGAGCTTCGTTGGCCGAGAGACCCACACAGAGCGTCCCCGGTTCCCCGACCCGCTCCGATGCCAAGCCCCTGCAGCGCACCAGGTCCGACTCCAAGGTTCCCGCCCCCGAGGCCCCCGAGGCCCGCCTGTCGAACAAGGAAAAGTATCTCAAGCTTTTCAAGCTGCGCGAGGAGGGAGGAGAGTACATTCAGGACGTCACGGAGATGAGCAGGGTTCCTGTGATTCTCAAGACAGATCTGTCCAAGAGCCCACCGTAAGTTGACCACTATCTAGCAAAATTCCGTGACAAATACTAATTCGAAGTAGTTGCTTGACCATTCGGTCTTTGAACCCTTATGCTCTGTAAAAAGGAGTTGTCTTGATATTACCTGTCCCGTGTGGGGCACGGTGTGATCGCTTCCAAGAGACTGACGGGCACGTTGTGCTTTTTCGTCGACTAAGATGCATCATAATGGTGTAGAAAAAGTTTGGTTGAGAGGGTGGATGATACAATTGTGATTGGGATGGGAGTAACAGCCAGTATATCTTCGTCCCTGGATGAGTCATTTAGCACAATAGGCCGGAGGTTGAGAGGAGGGTGGTGGATGAAATAGTAGAGATAGCGCCCATGAGTTAATAAAATGGTACATCCAATTGCACACACTATGACGCGCAATCGGATCTTTGCATGCAAACGTATCGCGCGGACACATTTGAAAGCTGCGAGTGGCCAGCCAGACGGGTGGAGAAGCAGCGTCTGCAGACTGCGAGATTATACGTAGGTGTCCCACGCGGAGCCGGGGCAGGCCTACCCTTGCGCGTTGCAGAGTCGGCGGGCAGGAGTCCTGTGGTGCGTGGGTTCCAGGGGAGGAACCTCGGTAGAGTTTCAGCTGCGGTGGTTGACAAGAGAGCCGGTTTGGAAAATTGACGTGATGACTTATGCCGGGGATCGGGGGTGTGTGGAGACAACGACAACAGTACCTTACGCAGAGGTGAGAGGAAGACGCGGGATGGGCTTCAGAAGTTTAGACTTCTTAGTGGACCGGAGACACTTGACCGTGAGTCGCTGGATGGGTTCAGAAATAGGCAAAGTCCAATACGGCTTGGGGAAGAGTGTAGGAGGCCGCCTGTTCAGAAGGAGGAATTTCGACACCTCCCATGTCATCAAAGGCTTGGATAGATATTCAGCTATTCGATTTTATTTGACAGGCATGCGCTACCATACGAGTATCTACACGAGTATGCGAATACGATGGTGACGATTGCTATTCACCGCATGTGTCAATTTCTTTTGCCGACGAGATCTCTGGAAACGGACGCCTGCGTCCGTCGCCAAAGACGGGCTGTCAGAGGGCGGTTAGGCGGGCACACAAAGAAGTCTCGTCACAATTCGTGGACGTCTTGGCACGGAGAAACTTCCCGTGTCCACAGGGACCTGAAGCTTTTTTTCTTTTTTCTTTTTTTTTGACTGAAAAAAGGATTCGTACCTTGGCCTGTAGGTAGCATGAGTAGGATTTGCAGGGCAAACTTGGGCAAGGTTTCTAATCCGACCTTACGGCGCAAGTTGTGGGAGCAAAGGGTGAGATGGAAGCATTATAACCCCGATAAAGAGGGAATCCCCCTGGCCACTCCGTGTTAAACTCCTGGTTAGGGTTGTATTTCTAACCCCCTCTCCGAGTTCCACGACGGGGGATCTGCAACGAGTCCAAAGTTCAGACTACCTGATGTCCTGTGAGATCTGCGCGGCGATCGCCAGGGGCGCGATTGGGAGGGGATGGGGGGAGGGACGGGAGACTAAATTTTTCGTCGGATTGAAGCAGCATGGCCCGGCTTGATCGTCGTCTTCACATAGATAGAGTGGGAGATCCTTTTTTTTTTGACAAGCCCGTTGGATAAGAAAAGACTCGAATTTGCCAAGGCCGGCTCATGTAGGATCGAGAGACCGGAGCCGTTGTCGACCGCTGCTTGACATTTCCGGGCTCCCGACATTCCATTCTCAGGCATTGCCCACAGACCTTTGGCATATTGGCATTGAAGGCGCAGCGCGCTACTTACCGAGAAGCCGGAACCTGAGGAGAGTTGCTTCTGCTCGTTTCTCTCCGAGTAGGACGTGGCCCAAACGGCAGCGGGGCAAAGGAGAAATGGTTGTTTCCAAAGGCTTGAAAGGGATGCTTAGCTGTCCGAAGACAACAAGGCGAGTGGGAGAGTCCACAAAGTGGGACTGCGCCCGACATGCGGTGTAGAGAGAAAGAAAGGCAACGACGAAAGGGTTGCGTTTGTGTCAGACGCGCGCATATGGTGTACGCTAGCAAACGATGCTGGAGTTATGATGTCGTACTGGTTGAAGCAAGGCAAACTGGAGCCAGTACTCGAGTTTCGAAAGGTTGACGACAGGGGTGAGCTTGCGAATGGGGCGGCTTTTCGGAGGTTTTTCTCTGGCGGGTGGGAATGAGTGATGGGAACGACTGAAGGGGAGAGATGATGAGCGTGGCGGTCGTGGCTCCCATACGACTCGGGTCACGGGTAGACGGAATGAAAGCCTGCTCGAGTTGGTCCAGACAGGCCCCTGGGCGAAAGAGAGATGGGATGGGTTCCCAATCCTTTGCTCATAGATGGCGAGTTGGGACGAAAAGAATGGTTTTGAGCCTCCAAAGGCTTTTGAAACGGTTTGCAAGCCCTGCAAGGTCTTGGCTTGCCGAAATGAGCCATGGGAGAACGGGTCTGGTTGTGTGGTTAGCGACCATCCGGTGTCGAGTCGTTGGGATGGACTGAAAGAAAAGAAGAAGATTGAACTGATTAGAAGTCGAGACTTGGATCCCGTGGCCTGATGGAAGGTCGATGTGGCTAGAGAGCATATTTTGGCCCAGCTATTGGATGCTGCCGAGTAAAATTTCCGAGCCTGATGTTGTCCACACATGCGAGGAACACTGGATGTCTTAGTCCCCGCCCCGAGGCAGCTCGCGGGCAGCTTGAGGTGTTCCATTGCCGATAAGCTTAAGTGGCTAGTGTATTGAGGCGGTTTGGAATTAGGACCAGGCCGGAAAACAGGCTGTCCATAAGGTGACGAGGTCAGTGCTCTGGTTGCAGAGCCGCGCTCGTGTAGCAGGCCTCGAGATTGGGACAGCCGTTTATTAGTGAGCTGCGAGGAGCCTGATGGCGTTAGGCTAGGTAGGAGGCTAGATCTGGGGTTGCTTTGCGGTCGTTTCCACGAAAGCCAGGTCACGAGTGCATGCTGGTGGTCATTCGTTTCTCACGGTCTAGCATGGCCCAGCCAGGTTAGAAAGCTAGACACCCTCGAGTCAACCCAACTAGGAGGCCAGTCGAGGCCAGTGCTCTGGCTGTCAAGATCATGAATTGCGATTGACGATGCAAGACAGATAACCTCTGGCAGACAGGGCTGGCAGATCATGGCCCTAGACCAACGGTGCGTGACACCCTTGGTGGGAGGCGACAGGAGGATCTGAAGTCCTTAATTCTCTGTCATACAGTTGGCAACGTTAGAAAGGCGTCGATCGCAGTGGAAATGAGCATCGTCTCCGTGTCGCAGGATAGCGGCGGCATACGACGCCGGGGCGGACTTGGATAAATGCCAGCAGCCTTGCCCAGTAACGCAATTAGTCGGATGGATGGATTTAGTGGTGCGTGATTGTCTGGCCTCGGCGGTGTGGGATGGACGGAAGCAAGAGACCGATGTGAGAAGTCGAAGAAAGGCGGCTCAGAAAGCGAGGTTGAGCAATGGAAAGAGACGTTACCGAGAGAACGTTCCTGCAGATGGCCAGGTACGTACCCACGCTAAGCCCAGCGAGGTTCTGCCGGGAAGGACCCCACCCGGACGGCGACCAATCAATTATTGCCTTCAGGTACGGAAGGAGCCAGTGATAGAGTGGTCTGGGCGTTCACGGACCGGGGTTTCTGACGTGGGAGACGTATCACAATGGTTTCGGTCGACGGCCCGTCCGTGACCCGGGTCAACGTCTAGTCTTGGCTGGGGGTCACGATGCAACAAAGTTGGCTCGGCTGCAATGCCAAAACAGTGGCGAGCGAGGGGGCCTTTGGGTACGTCCACCTCTTGGCCTCCTCGATGGCCCTCAGAAACCTCGCAGACCATACATAGACGATCCTCCAGGACTCCCGGTGGGGTCACCGCCCGCAGGACCCTTGCATTACACAAAAAGTCATCGGGTAAAAAAGAAGCGCAAAAACAAGCTCGGCAGGGGGGTCGCTGCAGCATCTGGAAACGGGCTTCATCCCAATCTAAGGAGTTGAACAAGTCCCTTGCTCAATCCCTTTTGGCCCCTCTTTCTAAAGATTTGTGTTGTCTGATTGGTGCTTTGCGCCATCAAGTCTCTGCCGATTCGTTGAGCTTGTTTGGACCGCAGCGAAACGAAACATGCAGAGGGTACTCCGTACCTTACTCCGCAGCCCTTACTGCTTGCTGTACCTGCCTACCAGTGCCCACGCTGCTTGGTCTCGCCTCTGCCTCGTTTACTCACACTCACATTCACATTCGCCCTCCCACTCACACAATATCCTGCTTCGTACCTAGGGGGCCTTCCGAAGGACGAGGGCAAGCCTCGCTGCCATCTGAACTTTTCATCATGTTCTCCTACCATGCACCCCCCTTGACGCCATTGGCAAGGGGTACCATCCACCACTTGACTTGGCTTGCCCGCTAGATCCCCCTTCCCGTCTTCCATGATACGCACCGCGTGCGCGCACACACACGCTCTTCCAGGCAAGCGCTGCAGTTATTGCGGCTTGCGGCGTGCCCTGGACTCCTCCCCCAGTACGGATACCAGCACCCAACACCAGATTGCAAACTCCTGCTTACTGTACCCTGTACCCCTGCCGGGTCTGAAGCTTTGGGGTCGAGCGTAATCTTGTTACCCGCATTGTGGGCTCCCGTGTGAACCGACGACGGAAAGAAAGCTAGCCGCAGACAATCCCCAGCAAGGACCCAAGTCGATCCGACCCCTCCCGAGTAGCAGAACATGAGAAAGGCCATGCGTGTGTGGGCGGCGAGATACCTTACGCCATGGGAGAGCGGCAAGATACCTACCTACCTTATCCTTCTGAGGCCAAAGTGAACCTTCTTTATTGCTCGCTTGTTTCCCACCTTCACCATTCTATTCCCGCCCCTCTCTTCTTTCCTCTTCATCCCGTTCACTGTGTGTCAATTTCTTCAAACTTCCAAAAGCGCTGGTCTGCTTTCCTGGTCCACCGGTTTTGCTTACACTTTCCTTTCCCTTCGAGACCTACGACCTGTCACTCCCTCGGACGACATTCTTAATACCTCTTTCTAATCTTTCACTTCATCGACCGTCCCAGGTGGCACCGATCGACAACAATCTTATATCCGAATTTCTGTCCCGGAAGAACAGCCGATCGAAAAGGAAAAGAAAGTCTAGGGCGAGCAAAGCTGAAATCACACAACCTACCTTAATCAACCATGCCTTCCACAATGAAGTCCGTTCTCGTCGCCTGCCTGGCCGCAGTGGCTACCGCCGCCCCCCTCGGCCCCAAGTTGAACTCCGAGCAGATGAAGATCTACGACCTCGCCAAGAGGCAACAGGCTGGAGCTGGGGCTGCTGGATTGACGGATATTGATATCCTGCAATTGTGAGTTGGACCGGGAGATTTGTCATGAGACATAAGATATTTGAGCAATAGGACTAACGCGGACTTCACAGCGCTCTTACTTTGGAATGGCTCGAGGGAACCTTCTACCAGCAAGGCTTCCAAAAGTTCCCCGCACAAGACTTCCAGGCTCTTGGTCTGTCCAACGAGCAAGTCAACGACCTGCAACAAGTCGGTGCTACTGAGCTGTCTCACGTCTCCTTCCTGCAATCCGCCATTGCCCAGGCCGGCACTCAGCCCGTCCAGCCCTGCCAGTACAACTTCGGCTTCACGAATGCTGCGGGCATGGTCGCAACTGCTGGCGTTCTCGAGAATGTCGGTGTCTCTGCCTACCTTGGCGCCGCTCCTCTTGTCAAGGACAAGGCCATTCTCGGCGCTGCTGGCTCTATCCTCACCATCGAGGCTCGCCACCAGACCTTCATCCGTGCCGCCTCCAAGCAGATCGCCATTCCTCAGGCCTTCGACGCCCCTCTTGGTGTCCGCGCCGTCTTCTCTCTGGCCGCACCCTTCATCGTCTCCTGCCCCCAGGGATCCAACTTGGCTTTGCAGCCATTCCCCAAGCTGACCATGACCGCCCCCGCCGACCCCAAGGCCGTCGCTGTCGGTGCCCCGATTATGCTCCAGTCCGATGCCGCACCCCAGGCCAAGGCCTGCGCCTTCACCACTGGTGGCATCCAGCCCGGTGGAACTGCCTTCACCCCCTTCAACCCCCAGACTGGTTGCGTCGTTCCCCAGGGTCTCAGTGGCGTCGTCTACCTCTCCCTCACCAACAATGCCCCGATGGCTGGCACGCTCACCGATGACATCATTGTGGCCGGTCCCATGGTGCTTACCATCTCGTAAGCGCGTTCTGAGAGTACGGGGTTTGCAGTCGCCCGGTTATGGGTGGGCTGAAAGGACGTGACGGGTGTGCGTTGATTAATCCCGAAGGTCAAAAAACAAAGCAAAAAATTGGGGGAATAAAGCGCATGATGCCTTCGCTTTACGACAACGGAAGTTGGATAGTCCAGAGTCAAATCAGCCAGTTTTTCGAAAATGTCGACCTCTTTTTTCCTACTTTTTCTGACTCTTCGCTCCCTCCAACCTCACTATCCGATCGAAAAACATTTCACTTCTCTGGCTGAATAGATAGCCTGTATATATGATGGTCATATTATATATATTCCCAACGGGGTTTCAGGAGTCTCACCAAAGACTTTTATGTATTGTTTAACTGGTAACTCTTTTTTTCTTTTCTGACATCATCATCTCAAAGAGTCTTTTTTGTTACATTACTTTTCATTTGTCGCATCAAATCCCATAGTCTTTCGAAGAGACACGGGTACAAACAGCACGGAAGGGCGAAAAGAGCCAGGAAAAATCGTGCCTCGGGCAAACGGAAGAATTCTATGATACCAGCAGAATAAAGCACGATTTTTTTGAAACATGTTCAGTACATAGCATCTTCCTCCCCCCTTCCTCTGTGCGCCAGATGATGAGTCTACTGAGAGACAATATGACAGTGATGGATTTTGGGAAGTCAACATGAGTTTTCGAGGAAAATTGTACAACTGAGACCAGCGCGCAATCAAAAAGCTATCTTTCAACAGTCGCAGAGGCTGCTAAATCAACACAGGTTCCACATTGTCGGCGATGGTGAAAGGTGGTGAGCTGAGGCGAAGAGCCGCAAAAGTGAACCCTAGGAGATGAATGACCATGGGAATGAGATTAGGTTTCTAGGGTGTAAGGCTGGCCGAGAGGGTGGAATCGATAGCCGAGCCGACGTCGAGTCGGCGCAAAGTCGGTGTCTACACCGTCGTCGACTCGGCGTCAAACCTTCTTTCGAGTCAGTCTGATCCGAGACACGGTTGTTGTTTCCGGCTCGGATACGCTTACCTTTACGCTTACTGTGCGACTGTGGGCCTCTTGGTTTCTTATGCGCCGTCGAAATGACTGGAAGGCATCTGTTAAGTTATTGCCTTGGCTTATGCGGAGTCTCAGTATTTATCGTGGGTGCAATGTTCCCCTAATGTTTTGACTTGGGCTTGCATTTGAAAGAGAGAGTAGGAGTGAACATTGATATAATCTCGTTGGGTGACTGTCAAAGCATAAGTCCGAAGTAGCGACCGACGGATAGTATTTTATCATACGCAACTGTGATCGTTCGTGTTCCAATATCCCCATGTAATTCATTGAGCGTTCTCGTGGAATAGATTTCCGCTAGTCATTGGCCATTAGCGATGACAAATATCAAGTGAGTAAAACAGTGAGTACACGCGGCTGGGGCAGCAATATCGATGAATGTCTTCTAGTTTTCAAAATCACTACCTCTGGTGTTTGATCATTTATTTACCGCTTCTTTGCCCTAAAAAACTCTTTGTTTCCAATTTGGGAACCTTGTATACGCTGTTCATAATGGCGTATTAACTTTGATGACACAGATTTCAGTGACTATTTCCTCAACCCGCCGACTTTGATCAGTTGCTCTTAAGCAGTACCTTTTCTCGAAAACATTGTCTCAGAAGTCAAAACTGTACTACTTACCGCCTTAGTTCGAGATAGCTAGTGAACTGCCTTGGTCGATGATGTCTAGAAAGGGCGCATACCTCTTACCGGGACTGGTGCCGCTGCATGATGCTCATGTGGGGCCGACCGGCCCCGGTAAATCGTCAGACTCCAGCCGGAGCTCTGTGACGCAAGCGGCCGCATCGGAGCAATTTAATCAACATCTTTCATACACATCAAATAGTCACCAAATAGAAGAGGTTATTCCAGCCATTAGTTCTCCGGAAAGCACTCTCATGAGGTGCCCGAAAACTGGCCTCCCTCGCAGCCGAGGTTCTTATAGCCGGCCAGGATCATGTCCCGCCCGACGGAATATCGACATACATGACGACACAAGCCAAGGTCGTCTAATATTCATCAAGAGCCTATAGTATGAGACTTTACCTGGAAGTCATCCTTTGGCATATACAAAAACCAGGTTTAGCGCAAAAGTTTAAAAGAGAACCCCATCCGATCTGTATTGCTTCCATGTACGAATAATTAATCTAAAAACAAATGATCTGCCGAATCTTCAACCCCGCGCGTGCCCCTCATCCAGCTTCCGTCTGGCAGTTCGGCTCTCGCGTGGTGACGTCTGCGGGGTCAAAGTCTACCCGTGAAATGGAGCCGGTGGGTAAATATTCTCGAAATGACACCCCGGCGATGGGGAAAACTACCGTTGCATCGGCGCATAACTGGCACATATGTCCGGCACGATGCGATCCCGCTTGCGGGGTCAGGTCGGCTCCCATAACATTCAGGGTCCATACGACAACCTTCACCTTCTTCTTCACTCCATAAGAGACTTGCAACTGTTAGTTTTACAGAATTAGAGCTAAAGATGAGTCGCCAATTCAACAAGGTAGATTGCCCAGCCTCCCCCAGAAGAACTGTCTGCTAACCAAGCGAGCAGGTCGTAATCGTCGGAGCTGGCCCATCCGGCCTCCTCCTCGCCCTGCTGCTCTCCAAGCACGGCATCCCCGTTCACATCCTGGAAGCTCAGGACCATCTCGACCAGCAACCGCGCGCCGCCCACTACGGTCCCGCCGCCATTCCCGATCTCAAGCGAGCAGGTATCTTGGAGGAAGTCCGCCGCCGCGGCATGACGCTGAACAAGTTTGTATGGCGCCGACTCGACGACCACGGCGTCATCACCGGGTTCGATTCGGGCGTGCTCCGCGACGTCGACGGCCAAGATCTGAGAACAACCTGCCTCGTCCTGCAAGAGCTCGACCAGCTCATGCTCGACGAGTTCTTGAACAAGTACAACGGGACCATCAGCTGGGAACACCGCGTCGTCGGTCTCGGGCAGGATGAGACCCGCGCCTGGGTCGACGTCGAGACGCCCGGCGGAAAGGAGGAGAAGAAGAAGCGCATCGAGGCCGATTACATTATCGGCTGCGACGGCGCCAACAGCGCCATCCGCAAGGGACTCTTTGGAGACGAGTACCCCGGCTGGACGTGGGATCAACAAATAGTCGCGACGAACACATACTACGACTTTGCGGGGAAATTCGGCTTCCACGACGCAAACTTCATCATCCACCCGGACCACTTCTTCATGGCGGCCAAGATTACGAGCGACGGGCTGTACCGCGTGACCTACGGCGAGGAGCCGAACCTCTCGCACGAGGAGCTGAAGGCACGCCAGCAGGAAAAGTTTAGGACGATGTTGCCGGGCCACCCGGGGCCCGATGAGTATAGAGTGGTCAACTTTGCGCCATATAAGATGCACCAGCGGTGCGCGCCGCGGTTCCGCGAGGGCCGGTTCATGTTGGCGGCTGATGCGGCGCACTTGTGTAATCCCTGGGGCGGGCTGGGGATCACGGGCGGGTTCGTTGATGTCGGGGGGTTGTACGACTGCCTTGCGGGGATCTGGGACGGGGTGGCGGATGAGGGGATACTCGAGCTGTATAGCGAGAAGAGGCGGGAGAAGTGGAAGACGATTATCGACCCGATTTCGCAGGAGAATTTTAGGAGGGTGTCGGATGCGGATCCGGGGACGAGGTTGGAGAGGGATGGGTTTATGCAGATGTGTGTGCGGGCAGAGAAGGATCCGGGGTTTATGAAGGAGTTGATGATGGGGAGCTTTGAGGTGAGGTATGATTTTACGCAGCATTATAAGAAGGTGAATGGTCAGTAGTGAGGGGCGTCGATCAGGAGCCATTTGCCTCGGTGGAGTGGGTTCCGTTTTGGACATAGGGTTGAGAGACAGTATCTATGCCAAGGCATTTGTCAAGCGTGTCACAATCCCGCAAACTGTACGCCTACAGGACTAAGCTCACGACACTTCGGTTCAGCAACGTATAGCTTACACCAGGTCAAGTAGGCAAAGGGTTTAGCATGTTACCATCTCTTGGTTTACCGGTCTTCCCATCTAGCATACTATCTCTAAGTGCGGATGATGTCTCCGTGTGAAAGTCCCTGCAAAGAACGAAATTGCAGCTTGGTAATTCTTCACTCAGGTACTATGAGGGATAACTATGGGTCAATAATCAACTAGTTTGTTGGTCCATATTATATACATCCCGTAACGGCCGAAGCATCCCTCAACTTCGGTGCCCTAGAGTCTCTCCCACCCTTGTTTCATCATCATATCAGCAGTGCCGTACTTTAAGCCCCGTGGCTTTCGGGGGGTCCGACCGACCGATCGGCCCCATATAGGGGACCACACCGGAGCAGGTGGGGCCAAGCTCCGTCTCGTTCCTGTTCCTCCGGGATCGGCCCGACAATACGAACAACGTCAGTTTACTATCACAGTTCAACTGTCTTCAATGAGCCTAGCCTAGGTCTATTTCAGTTTTGCACAAGCTGCTCAAGGTATCGAGAGAAGGATTATGTTGACCTTGCACAATTGCATAACTCGCTCGGAGGAGTGGAGTTGCCATGATGGACCATCGGCCCACACCTATTCTCAGCGCCCCAATAAGCGATTTTCGCCGGCGCTTAATCCTGATGGTTCACTGCAACCCAAATTGTCACTGCAGACAGAATGTCTCTACCCCTGTCAACTTCTTTTCCTTCTTCACCCAACTCGTGTTATCCATTGTTGTCAACACTCTGTCAACTCGCAGAGTATGTGAAACGAAGAAACTGTTTAGGCAGACTAGCAATACCGCAAGAAGACAAAACAGAGTCTGGTAACCAAAATCATGACTTTGCAAGAGCTCAGCAGTGGCAAGGCATTCTAGGTCCTGGTCTAGCCCCCGCAGGGCCGCGGCCCCTCGATCATCTCTTCAGCGCTTAGCCATCACCTCTCATTCCTCAATACCCATGGTCGAGGGCCCCCGTCGAGCACCGAGTTGGTGCACGATCCCTGGACGCCATCACATCCTGTTGGCGCGATGTAGTATTCGAGGCCAGGAACGGCTCAAAATCATGCGCATCGGCTCGTTGCCGCGCTGAGGATTATGCTGTTGGTAGCAAGTTAACCTCTTAGTCTGTTTCGGCGACCCAAGCTGTCGGGTTGAGTCTGTCAGTCTCGTTCCCTTAAGGTGCTGCGTCTGCCAGGAACAGAGGTTGTCCGACTTGGGTTCCTTTCATCTCTCTCTTCCCCGTCTTCTTTCCTTTGTTGAGAGCTAGTTTGGGCGGGTTTTTCTTTTCAGTCTTCATTTTCCAAGGGTTGTTGAGTCTCTTGCAAGAGCTCTGGTTAACTGAGCTACACAACTACGCAACCGAATACAGTCGAGGGTCCTTCCGTTCTACTCCTTTACTGCCTGCGGCCACTGTCCATTGAAGTCATGGGCATCAAGGGACCCGAAGTTCATGAGACTCAGCTTCTCAACAACCAAGATGGCTCACCTGAGAAGCAGAGCCGAAAGGCTTCACTGCCCTTCGTGTTTCAAAGGTCTCGAGATAGCGAATGCAGTCTTGAAACAGGTCAGAGAGAATACGGGGATAAACCACAAGTCGAATGCTGCGAGCTAACACAGGTATCCAATAGTTCACAAGCACGGTTGGAAGCCATTGACTCTCAGTGCTCCAGTTCTTTTCTCCTTCGCGTTCACGTCCTTCCTTCTTGCGGTCATCATCGAGATACTCGCCCAACAAAGCCAGTCGAAAGGAGGCCTCGCCCTCTCGAAGTCAGCCGACGATATACCGGCTTTTGCAAACTTTTGCTACCTGTTCCTACCCACTATCGTTGCCGTCATATACAGTCTGCTCTGGAGCTGGATTGACCTTGACGTCAAGCGAATGCAACCATGGCTGGAGATGTCAAGACCAAAGGGCGCTACGGCAGAGAAGTCGATGTTTCTGGACTACCCGTACGACTTCATCGCCTTCGTTCCGATCAAAGCGGCCAAGAGAAGGTAAGCTTGCGTTTAAAACGTTTACGAGATGTGGGCTCACCCAACGCAGACATTGGGCAGTTTTTTACGGCGGAACGGTCATGGTCCTCATCTTCTGGGTAATCACACCCCTCCAAAGTGCGATACTTGGAACCGGCCCAGTTGATGTAAGACGGCAAGTCAACATATCTGCTACTGAGACTCTTCGACCAGCTTCAGAGCACTTTGGATTGATGGATGTAACTATTCTCAATGAGGGCTATGCCCAGACTTGGCTAAGCCAGCGATTACCTCCTTACACGACTCCGGAATACACGCTGCTCCCCTTTGACACAAAGAGTCAAGCTATCCAAGGATCCTCGACCAATTGGACGGGATCCACCACTAAGTATTGGACTCAATTGGAATGTTGGCCTGCGGAAGTGCACATGAACGGTGCCCCACGAAAACAAAACCACGACTTCCTCAATGGCCGTGGTTGTAACGCCAGTGAGATCAACAGCTACGGAGACAACAGGTTCCCTTACCAGATGTTGTACATAGGTTATCCTTATAGTTCGTGGGTGGACTACTTTCTGGGTGCCACATGCTCAAAGCAATCGGCAGGCCATCAGTTTCTAGCTACGTGGGGTCACTCGGACTATCAGAAGAACGAGATCAACCTCACCGCCATATTCTGCGAACCCAGCTACTACAAGCAACCAGTCAATGCCTCCATCAGGGCTGCCGATCTCGTCCCTTTGGAGAACTCGGTTGTACCGCTGGGTCCTCGGGAAAGACTTTTGGAAACAGAGTTTAACATGACAGCTTTCGAGCATCTACTAGGAGCCGGCGTGTTAACAGACCAAATGAACACCCCGAAAGATGGTAAGAAAGAGTTCCCGTTTTCCCGTCTACTGGAACAGCACCAGCAAGTCGCCAACTTAGGTATCAAGTGGCCGATGGCCCCGATGGCAGGGTTCGCTATTGGCTCACAAAAGGACGTCAAGACACTCGATGTATATCGGGACGAGGCCAGCTTGGGCAACGCTTATAACTCGACACACAAGATGCTCTTCTCTCTCGCACTCAGGCGGGTTCTCCAACGTTCCGCGGCTGCAAACACCACTATCGGAAACATCGATGTCGAGCTGCACGGTATCATTGTCAGCCGTGTCTTCTCCGCTGTGGTCGAAGGAATGCTAGTCATTGTCGGGATTTTCACGATACTCTTATGGTTTCACGGCTACAGGGCACCCAGCAGGTTGACGATGGACCCCGCCTCTTTGGGATCACTGATTAGTCTCTGTCAAAACAGCACGACACTTCTCGACAAGCTTGCTGGAAAGGGAGCGCTACCTGAGGAGGATCTAAAACAGTCTTTCCAGGACTTACGATTCAAATTGTTCTGCGGGTGCCAGAGTCGTTCAGGGCAAATGGTCATCAAAGTAGTCGATACCCGAGACAACACAACCGAGGATCGATCCATTAGCTTGGCCCAGCCCGACACCGCCTTCTCCGTCGGCCACTACTCCCCGGTCAAGCCCATGGCCTTACGCCAAGATGTTGGTGCCATGGTTACGTTGTCGATGATAGCGGCTGTTGGCGGATTAGTCTACTTCAAGTTGCTAGAGAGGCGCAACAAAGGTTTGGGGAACGACTTTTGTGGTAAAGTCAAAAGCTCACCAGATTTTCAGGAATCGTCCGTCCGAACGCAAGCTTCGAGGTGCTGCAAATTCTCGAGAACTACGTGCCAACTATTTTTGCAACTTTGCTGGAGCCCTTTTGGGTGCTCGTCAATAGGCTTCTTTGCATACTGCAGCCATTTCAGGACTTGTGGTCCGGCAAGCGGTCCGCCAAGGGCTCCATCAATGCCAGATACACTTCTCTGCCTCCGCAACTTGTTTTCTGGCGTGCGGCCAAGTCGGGCCACATCATCCTCACGGCCATGTGCACGCTAGCTTTGCTATCCAATCTTCTAGCTGTTGGTCTCGGTGGTCTCTTCAACGAAAAGCCAGTAGATATGGAGCTTCCTTACGAATTTCAACAATCACTTATGCCTCGAATGAACAACACATCCATTTACACGGAAACCCGCAAAACCCTTGCAGACTCGGCACCATACGAGATTCCTTTCTACATCTTCATGAACAACGTGTCTCAGAACACGCCACTAACACCGTGGGTCAACCACGACTACTTCTTTCAGCCCTTCAACATTGTCCCCAAGGACGAAGATAAGACGAGCGGAACCACGTTTACGGCGCGGACCAGGGGCTTCAGTACTAACCCATCCTGCTCTGACTTTGGAACTTACAACACGACAAGGAAAGCGCCTCAACTAAATTTCACAATGACCAGGAACGACGAGGCTGTGAAGGGTTGCAGTACAAGCTTCGATACGAAATACATGACACTTGCCGAATACGACATCTTCCCCGGGCCGGCTTCGAAGGAGATTGTGCAAACGTTGGACGAATCCTATGACTTGACATCCTGCGAGACCCCTTTGCTCATGGGCTGGTCGCGAATTTCTCATGCTTCGAACATCACGAAACCGACAAACTCGACAACAAGCTCGAAACGTTCGCAGAGTACCGAGCTGGGGGACGGAGAGATGGCAAGCACGTTCGTCATATGTGAACCCGTCTTCGCCACGGCCATGTTCGACGTCACGGTGGACTGGCAGGGCTACATCATCAACGCGTCCCGGGCATCCGATGTTTCGGCAACGCTCGACTATCCCCTCTCGACGAACCACACGGATGCGATATCCGCCTACGTCAACCGGCTCATATTCTCAACTCAAACGAACTGGCACAACGATAGCTTTTCCCGGGACTGGATGAATTACCTACTCAAGATCCAACCGGGCTACGCCAACCTCCTCGATCCGACCGTCCCACCAAACGCCACCGCGTTGATCCCCACCCTCGAAGCCGTCTACCGCCAGATCTTTGTCCTCCTCCTCGGCAACAACCAGAACTTCCTCGACACCTATCCAGAACCCGTAATCATATCTGGCCTTCGGCACACCACGGAGACGCGCATCTTCATGGACGCCACCGCCCTCGTCATCAGCCTCGTCGTCCTGGCGATCAATATCGTCGTAGCCATCGCGCTCTACGGCCTGGCGATCAAGCACTTCCTCCCGCGCATGCCCACGACCATTGGGTCCATCCTCGCCTATCTCGCGCCCAGCAGGGCGGTGCGCGAGTACGACGGCGCCGGCGGCAGCCTCGAGAGAAGCGCCACGTTCAGCTTTGGTCGGTACGTCGGCGAAGACGGGCGCGCGCACGTTGGCATCGAGCTTGATCCCTTTGTGGTGCCCGTGAAACTCTCCGCGTTGAGAAAGGGCGATACGGAACCGAGGAAAGGTCTGCTTGGAAGGCTGCTGGGGAGAGGGAAAGCGGGACGGGGAGGTGATACGTGGTTGTGAGCGTTAGACGAGCAAATAAGACCGGATGGAAAGTAAAGATGAGATGAGAAGATTCACATTGATGAACTTGATTCGGACACGCCTGAGAGGGTATGATTTACTCGCACGCCCAGAGAAAAACGCCCATTACCAAATTAATTGATACCCATGCCCCTATCACTTCCGCGAATCCGAGTTGGGTTTCCACAAGTGCCCATGATTTCAGAAACCGCGCTCTATGGGTCCAGACAACGACTCAAGCATGTTTCTATCCTGCGTTTGTTTGTTTCTCTCAGAATGCCGTAAGGCGTTTTTTCCACGCAATGCTGATCATGTCCATGCGTTGCCATCTTCATCTGATATGGGATGTGTCAGCCTGCTCAGCTCGACAAGGAACAGCTTCCATTCGACTACGCATACTGACACACCTCCAACTGTCATGTACAAGGCTTATTCTCGAGGTGTTAGAAAAGAGGAAAGACAGAGGGAGAATTAAGTTTGAGTTATGTCAAGGTCCCTGTCCAACCCCAGGGCCCCACGAGATCTTTGACTCGTTTCCCAGGATCTCCCCGCCCGCGTGTCAGAGACGCCACTTCGGATTGTCGAGCTCTGGTCCGCAAGTGGGTGTCGGACGCTTTGACGTGAGATAGAGCTGAAAGCTTGGGGTTTGGTGTGTGTGGATCGATGAGTGAGAGATTGGGCATCGGACTTTTAAGATTCACATGGTGGAATTCATTGGGAAAATGTTTTATGATGAGCATGTGTCATGCTATTGATCTTCTCGCGCTACTTTTCTCGTGCCTGCCGATCCCAACAATGTGCCCCCAAATGGGCATCCCAATGTGATGAAATGTATATGTACAGAATTTTTTCGTAAATGTTCAAGAAAGAAAATGAAACGCCCTATTCTTTGTGCTGTGCATGGTATGTTGTCATGACTTTGTCCAATGTATCCCGAGGTATCATATCCCGTAAATGCTAAGCCGTTCATGAAGGAGTGTTCGCCATCGACCAGCTTAGGCGGAACGGAAGCGAAGGGAGCGCTGGCGCAGGGCACGCTTGCGGCCGTTTCGGGTCACAACCATGCTGAGCTCAGAGCTAACGCCAGCGGTGCACGAAGTGCCGCCAGCGAGTGCCTGGACAGAAGACCAGGTGCCGCTGGCGCAACGCTGGAAGGAGCTGCCTCCAACACAGTTCCAGGCACCCTCATCAGTGCAGGCGGCGCCAACAGTCTGGGCACCGGCGGTAGTGCCGTTGCCGCTGCCGGTGCCAGACGAAGGAGCGGCGGAGGGAGCGGCGGAAGGGGCAGCACTGGGAGTGACAGCGGGTGCCTTGGTAGCAGAAGCGGAAGCAGTGGGAGTAGCGGAGGCTCCACCGTTGGCGGGAACGGTGATAAAGACACCGCCAGGGAGGGAGGCGTTGCCGGTAGGCTTGGAAGCAGAGGGCTTAGAAGAAGCCGGAGCAGAGGTGGGAGCAGCGGTTGGCGCGGCACCTCCATTGCCAGCAGTGGTGCTAGGCTTGGGAGTGCCGGAAGAGCCACCGCCGGAACCACCACCGGAGGATGTGCCACATGAAGTGCCGTTAGGGGGGCCTAGGTTAGTGCCGAAAGTGTCAACGGAGGTGCCGGCATTGGGGAAGACAACGTCGATGTTTTCGGACACGGTGCAGTCGTTGATGCCCGCCAAGTTGGCAACCATCATGTCGGGAAGAGCGTTGTAGGCCTCCTGAGAGCCACCTGAGCCAGTGATGGTGACAGGTCCGCAGTTCATGTACATCTCACGGTTTCCGACCTTGTTGAACCAGGTCCAGGCGATAGTACCGTTGCCAGCAGGCATGTCATTGGGAATCGTGAAATCGTACGTGTCCTTGCCCGCCTGGTTGGCATTGTCGCCGAGGTTGCCGGCAGTGTTCTTGGCCGGGCAGCCGCCCTCAATGGACTTGATAACCTTCCAGACACTGTTCTTGTCGGGCTTAGCATCCCAAGTGATGGAGACCTGGCAAGAGCCGCCACCGTGGACAGCAGAACCGATGAAAGCCAAGTCGCCAGTGGCACCTTGGGCGTAGACGTTGGATGCCCCCGCGGCATTGTAGCTGCTAGATTTGCAGGGGAAGTTGCTTCCATCAGCCTCAAGAGGGCTGTTGTCAAGGTTGGCGTTGTCGTAGGGAACAGGCGAGCTCATCTTCATGTGGGCACTGGCGAGGGTGGCCAGGCCGAAGGCGACGATTGCGTTGGCGTACATGTTGATTTGATTTTTGGGTTGTGAAGTTAAGAATCTAAAACGTTCCAGACGTAAGAATCTCGATATCGTGTGGTTGTCGTTGAGACTATGGGTTGAGTTGAAAGATATGTTGTGGTTTCCGAAGAATGAGTACCTTTATAGAGCATGTTAGTCCTCGACTCAACCTTGATATTACACAAGCAGTCATCCTAGCGACTATCCAGCATCTTCGACAGCGCATCTGTTCCCCAACAGGCCCGACTCGAAGCAACCAGCCACAGCCACGACCGTGAAAGTCCCGGTGTGACGGGACTGGGTCCTTCGAAGAATGACATTGTTGGTGATACAGCGCGGGCCGCGATGTCGGACAAAGGCGTCGAATCGGGCCAAGGATAGTCAAGGCTGCGTGCCGTTCCTTTGAAGATGAACCCGCAACATTCCAGGTACTTACAATGTCTTCTCGCTTTGTCTTGCTAGGAAGCTTTGACGTTGCGGGATGTTTCAACAAAAAAAGTGTTGGAGTGAAGGTTGAGAATCGGATAGCTGTCGATGGGTCTCGAAGTTTCGGTTTTCGGTTGTGTGTTCGTTGATTTCCGGAAAGGATGGTATTTGCACCAGGCGAGTTGGATATGTTGATGGAAGATGAGAAGAAGAATAAGGACTAGCCTTGTTGAATGAGAAGTGAGAGAAGGTAAGATGTCACGACAAGTTCTTTCCAAGCCCAAAGAATGCGAGAAGACGTGATGGTCCGAGAGGATGAGGAGTAGGAGAATGGAATTGTGAGGTCGGACAAGGCCAGGTCTTATAAGACCGGAAACAGACCAGAAGGGATGATGGGCAAAAACGAGTGCCTTAGTGACTGTGACTGTGACTGACAGGGCCCCACGGACAGAATATGCCGGGCTTAGTGTAGAGAGTGACTTAGTGACCAGCGAATGGATACGGGAAAGGAGAGGCAAAAAAGCAATAAGCACGAGCTGCAGCAGAGAACGGCGGTAATCCCAGAAGGACTGGAGAACGATGGACTGGAGGTCGGACCGGGAGGTGAGTAGCTGAACAAGATCGGTCCACTTGGGACGGGAGAGACATGGCGTACTTTTTAGACAGGCGTTGAGCAAATGGGCCAGTCAAGACCAGACATGGGCATCAGATCAAGGGGATTCGAAGCATGGTGGATCGACCGAGGGGTACAGGGGCAGGCCGTTGAAGAAGGAGAGGCATGGCCTTGAGGCTATGATAGGCCGGAGACATGCCCCTCGGCTTGTTTCGACATGGCTCAAAAAGACCGGACTAAACATTCTTGTGAGTGGGCAGGGATGTGGAGGAGAGAGAGAGAGAGAGAGAGACTGGGAGAGGCAGATGGAGCTCGAGCTGCGGCTGTCGTCTGCCTGTCGACTTTGACCCATGGTCTCGCGGCAGAGACTAAGACGGTAAGGCCATGCCATGTTCCTGGGAAAGACAGATGGTGGTGGACTTCGGTATTGGTACACTAGAACTAGGTGGGTGGGACATGGAGGGACGGGGACCTTGCAGCAAGGCGCGCCATGGTGCGTTGCGGGTTGGGCTGCGGTCTTTTCGAGCGACGGATGCCCCTGACTAAACTTGTCTAAGGAGGAGCCAAGGACAGCCAAAGGCGGGGGAGGAGGGAGGGTTGTCCTGCGGTGCATCTGTGGACCAGAGTCGAAGTGGTATGGACTATAGGGGAGGGATTGGTGAGCAGTTTTTCGAGCTGTCGTTGATGGCGAGGATCGAATGGCTGGGACGAGGTGGGAAGAGAGACAAGTGACACCGAGGATGGTGCGCTAGTGGGAGGGGAGGTCCGGGACTGGAGACAGGGAGCAGGGAGCGACGATGCAGGGAGCATGGGTACGAAATACCTTGCCCATGTACATGTTGTGGATTCTAGACTCCAGGGACCCACCGGACAACGCAGTACGTACCCTTACCACTCCCGTCCAGGGACGACGTCCCATTGGGTACTCGGAATACGCTAACGGAGCACGAAAGCACGTTCCTTGCCTCTGTCAGTACGTATTCTTTTGGCACCAGCTCCTTTCTTGCATAGCATCGGTACCTTGGAGCCGTACCGTCTATACGTATCTTTCTATGCTACCTACTAAGGTAGCTACGGATATACCTACGTCGTTTAGTTGTAAGGGGCGAGGGTGGTAGGCACGGGAATATGGAGGATCACATAGGTGCAACCACATGTTTCCATCTGGTGCTTAGATGGCAACCCTCAACTTGCTCTAGAAGAGCGGTAGGAACATTGAAGCGCTCGAGCTGCAGCTTTCAAGACAGGAGAAGCACCACAATCGGCGGGGACTACTGCAAGGCACCATCTGGGAGATGATCACAGCATGCAGCAGTATCTCTAGTCTGGGTGGTGAGAGTCAGAAGGTAGATTGCCACACCCAGCTCTCTAGTATTCTTGGTTCCCGTCCTGTTCCTGTTACTAAATGCATTCGTCCAGACTATCTTAGTCTTGCTTGAGTCTAGATTAGAAGGGAGGCGTTGCGATGCAAGTTTAGTCATCTCATCCGGTGTATACCTCACCTTGGACGGTAAAGAGGCGAGTTGCGTGGTCGCCTTCGCCTCGCCAAGCCTCAAGGATGAGTGCAGTATGCCTGGGCCTGGTAGTTAATTCTTCAACAACAGAAACTTTGCCTGACAGGCAAACAGACAGCGCACCACGGTAGCGCGGCTCGTTTGCTGACTGACGGCTCGACCGTATGCACTGACTGGGTCGAAAGTCGAGATCGTCGAAACACGAAAAGGGCGAAGCAGTCCAGTCCATTCCAG